GCAGCTTCTTAAACTACATGTATTTCATGCGTTGAATTACTGAAAGACTTTTTAAATGTCTTTTTGAATTTTGTGTGTTTTTATTCTTGATTCTTCTTATTCTTATTGTTTGGGTCTGGAACAGGGGCTAAATGCATTACCCTGTGCGTTACTGTGCATAATTATGTTTGTGTCAAATAAAATGTCTTGAATCTTGACTCAAAAGATGCTGTAAACATTTAACTAATCATAAATTTCAAACTAAATCTGGAATGTTGAAGGCCCGTTGGCTCGACTCTGTATAGAAAACAGAAGGTGGTCTAATCATGATTCCCTCGTCCCACTAACGGTGAAGCACCTGGCTGATACAAACGAGCTCCTCGGTGGATCTAACGGACCTTCAGGAGATCGTAAATGTTGGATGATGAAACTGATCTTAGCTGCAGGAATCTGTTCTTCCGGTGGAGTTAAAGCTCAGGTACAAAAACGTAAATACGAAGACATTTAAAGATTATTTTAAATTCGGCGACTAAACATAGAGGTTGTCTTAAACCCCAGCAGTTTAAAACGCAGCTTCTGTTCTATTAAAATATTTGATTTTTATCAATTTATTTGTATTTTTCATCTTTTTTCTTTTCATCTTTTTTTATTCCTTACTGTCGTTATCATTGCTGCTAATATTATTATTATTAGTGTTTTCTTTTTTTTTATCATGATCTATTTTCAGATAAATACTCACACATATACTTTAAACAAATCTCTGTCAGCATTTGGTTGAAAATACTGATGCAGAAACTATGACGTCAATAAAAAGTGTTTTGGGATAAAAACGCATCTTCTGAAGACGACAGTGAGTTTAAAAGACTGATTTTTGTAAATAATAAATGTTTTTAGCTTTAGCTTGATACCTGAATATCATTAATGTGACATTATGTTGACTGATCTCCTGGTTTTCTGTGTTTATTCCTACTTGAACTGAATTCATCGTCAGAGCTTCAGTGAACGGTCGTACCTTCAGCTCGTCCTCCAGTTCCACAGCTTTCCTCTGGAGGGCCAACTTCTCCTGCAAACCACAACACTGATCATCAAGAGAAGAAGAAAAAAAAAAAAACTCTTCACCTGCTGTTACACAACTAAGAGCAGGTTCCGACAACAACCGCCGACGGTCGGCTTCACGCGCTGCACAGCCGTCGGACTGCCCTCCTTCTCATGTTATCGCGCCTTACAAAGTTTGCAGCGCATTCACAGAAACATCCACTGCTAGAGTGTGAAACTGCAGCTCGAGAACAGGAAGTAAAAGTTCTGTTCTTAGCAACAAACCTTTAAGACAGAAAGAACAAAGCAAACGGAGCAAACTTACAAATCTCTCCAGCTCCAGCAGGGCCGGTCTGTCTGAGCTGGTTTCTTGACTCTGCCACAGACAGAAACAGGATTAAATCACCACCTCTAGACACATAACTGGAAGTGAAAATCATCTTTAGAGACTTTAGAGAGTTGCAACAGACACTAAATACGAAAATGAGACAGACTGTCAGAGTATCGCCTCGTCTGAACTCTGTAGGACTCAGTTCAGGTATCAGGGTCTTCAGTTGAACAGTTTCTGGGTGGTCTGTTCACTCACTGTTGGCTCTTTTGTCACTGTGATATAAAGTCCTGCACCTCTGTGGAAACCGAACAACAACTTCTGTGTAGTGTGGCAGAGTTACAACGTCATAAATCATAAAAAAGAAAAAATAATTATTGCTGGAAAAAAATGGGGGCTGATCACACTGTCGATATTCAACGACTCACATTTTTACAACCTCCAGAAACTATTTTTTTCCCGCACACCACTCTGCACGTGGACTCTACAAAGATGTTTCACCATGCTGAATGTATCGTCCAACAACTTGCTCCTCTGTTCACTGTTTCTGAGCCGTGCAGCATTTATTTTATTTCCTCTCTACTCTTATAATCTAATCTAAAACTGTCCATAACGATTTGAAAATCTGTTAAAAGTAACACAAAATGACCTAAACCGACCTAAAATGTGTTCAAAATGACTTGAAATTTGTCATTTTAGACGTATTCTTCGGTCATTTTGGACACATTTTGAGTCTCACTGGTAGAAAAGGAAAGAAAAATGTTGTCTCCACACACTACAGATATTTCTCCATGTTTACAGCCTCGACCAACTTTCTCACATCAGCTGTAGAAAGACGTTCCACCATGCTGAATGATTCGTCCTCCGTTCACTCTTTCTGAGCCGTGCTGCATTTATTCATTGATCCAGTAGGTTTGATTTTCCTCTCAGTCTCTGCTCCGTGTAAACACAGCCTGCAGTTCACCAGTATCTGATGAAATACTACAATTTAAAACCTAGATTTGAATTCTTTTCACGTGTTTTGTTCATGACTGTTGAAAACTGAACGAATCCTCCTGATTAATGGTTTCTTTTGGTCATTTGGGTGATTTTTTTTTTTTACTTCAAAAGCGTGTTATCGTTAAAAAAATCTACTTAATTACACTTTTGATCAGAGACGCGTATGGAAACAAACTTAAAATCTAAATAGTAAAATAAGCATAATGTGCAGAACACTGGTGGGAAAACGCTGAACACGTTGAATCCAGTTTGTGCTTTTTCCCTTTTTTTTAATGATTCATGTCATTCTAATTGTGTCATAAAACACAGACGACGTTTCTCAGTTCTCGCTCCTTCTAGTCGTGGTTGTTCTGTTTCCAAAGAAGTTAATGTTAAAGTGAAAAATGAGCCCACAGTGAGTAAAAACATGACAAGAAACTGAATCATCAGTTCATTTAAAAAGACCTCTCATTTGATTTTGTACATTTGTTATTGCTCTTTAATAAAGCAAAAGTAAATAGATAGCTAGAATACTTGAAAATAATAGAAATAATCAACAATCTGAAGATGAAGCCAATAATCTACAACATAAAGCTTGATGTTTAAAAGTGTAACTGTGTCACTGAAGCGGTTCGTTGCGACTTAGACAAACATCAGCGCCTCCATCTTTTCATAAAGTCACACACAAGAACACAGCGAAAAGGTCAGAGGAAGCAGCAAACCTGCCGAACCTGTCGGAGCCTCTCCAGCTCCACTTTGTTTTGGCTGAGCAGCAGCTCCATCTCCTGCAGCTTGTCCTTCAGCGCCAGGTTCTCCTGCAGCACCTTGATGTACAGCTGCAGGGAGACGGACACAACGCAGACCGTCAGAGCGCAACAAGCTGAGCATGAAAGCACCGTGGAGATGATTTAAAAAAAGCTTTGTATGTGCATGTGCTTGATGTTTCGGTTCCTCTCGGGAGCCTGTTGGGCGTCATTCCCATCCCATTTCACCTGCAGCCCTCAGGTGTGTTGTTCAGGTATGTGAGAGGAGGGTCGGATACGTACCGTTCTGTAGTCAGCAGATGAATCTCCCAGTTCACTCCCGCTGCAGAGACGACAAGAAGATTTTTAAAAAACAGCCAGACGGAGAATCTTCTACACCTACAACTCTGCCGGTAACCCACACGGTTCACTAGAACAACCTCATATTTGTCAGAAACAGATTCAGATTCAAAGTCTGCAGATCTCCTGTGAGACCTTCAGGACACAAATACATCTATGTCGCCTCTGAAATACACAAAATTATAGAATAAATGAGATTCCAGTCGGACACACTAGAGCTCATCGGTTGGTTGATACGCTCTGATCAGAACCTTACTGGTCAGACAGTCTGAGGTGTTACTTTCATGGAAAAGAAAACCGCTGCATCGACAGTCTTCCAGGATTAATACGTTGTTCTTCCTGTCAAGTCTAACTTAATTACTGGACGTTTACTGAGTCAGCTCATGTCTCAGAAGTCGTCGACGTGGCTGCATTTCGCACGAAAAAGTCGAGTGTCGCCTTCGCAGACAGTTCAACATGTCAGATCGTCTAAACACAGCAGCTCACTGGTGTTATTTTCCTCAGTAGCTCTTTTTCTGCATCACCAGATGATAGATTTTTTTGAATACAGGCAGGATAAAATGATTTAATACAAGTATGCTACGAATACTGCCTCTTTTTTATGTTGATTTAGAATTAATCTAGACTAATGAGGTAGGTATATCTGTGTTTCATCCGCATTACAGTGAAAAGAAACGTGTAATAATTTGACTGAGCATATAAATAGAAAATGAGATCGGACCTAAAATTGAACCTTGCGGTACACCACAGGTAATAGGAGCTGAAGAGGAGGAGTGGTTACCTATGGTGACCGGAAAGGTTCTGTTTGAAAGGTAGGAATAAACTGGTACTGCCCGCTCTCCTCTTGTTTCTCTTTGTACTTTTATCTTCAGATTTTATCTTAATTCACCCTCTGTGATGTCGTCTTTTTACTCACTTTTTTTTTTTTTTTTTTTGAGTGTTTGCCTGCACTTTTTATAGAAGTTGTTTTTTCTTTATTATGTAAAAGCACTTTGCGAATTCTGTTCTTTAAAAGTGCTATACAAATAAAGTTTACTATTTATTATTATTATTATTATTATTATTATTATTAAGGCTGCTGGTTTGTGGAACATTTAGCCTTATTTACTGAACATTCGGTACGATTTTCACTCCTCTTTGTGTCACTGCAGCCTGAATACAAACGAGAACATCAACAGGGAGACTCACTAAGAAGAGTTGTTGCTGTTGGCGTCTTCCAGATGAGCATCGTCATCGTCGTTCTGAGAAGGAAAAAAAAGAAGAAGAAGTGAAGTTAGACGGTGAACCTCTGACACAGTTATCACCTGCGGCAGCTCGTTTCACATGAATTCAATATTTCTACCAACACATTCACTTGCTGTACGGTGTTGTTCAGCTGATGTGCAAACAGAGACACTTTAACACCTTTGAAGGTTCACAGTGGAGCTTCTGATCGCTACAAGTGTGCAACACTTCCTTTCTGATGGTCTCACACTATTCCAACAATCTGCAAGATGTGCAGCTGAACGTAAAGCAGAGGATGAAAAAGACTGCGAGTGAGTGAAGATGAACGGCAACGATGCAGGATTTTAAATGTTTTTTTACGGACCTAACAGACGCACAAAACGTGTTCTGGTGAGCAATTAAATCAAATATATTCATAAAACACATTTAAAAACAAGTGAGTTGACCGAAGGCAACAAAAAATGATGGATAAAAGGATAAAAACCTGCAAAATCAATTGGTAGAAAAAAAACTGAATAATATAGAATAATAAAACAGGCGAAGGAGGATAGCAACTGGTCAGACCAATTTCTTAAATTAAAAACATTATGATATATTAAAACTAGGTGTGGGACTTTAACGCGTTAATTACAACTAATTAATTACAACAAAAATAACGCGTTAAAAAAATTAACACTATTTATCGTAGTTTGCATCCAGACAACACAGAGCGTTTGTCAGCGCCCGGTTTCATGGTCCACCAATCACAGTGATGCACAAGATGCGTTAGCGCTACGCTAACAACAACGAACATGGAGGAATCTGATGAGAGTGCATCGCTTGGACTGATGGAGGGCAAGTTTCATTTACAAAAAACTGACTGATGGAGCCTTGACAAGAGTGTGGTTTTGTGCAACTTGTGCAAAAAAAGAATGTGCATCCCAACGAAGCACATCGAGCTGACGGTACCACCTGAATGCAAAGCGTGTTGTAGCGAGCACAGAAACCGCCAGAGCTGTTAGCGCTGCTAGCAGTCCTGGTCCGAGTACGAGCAAGCGGTGTCGGTAGCCCACACTGGACCACATGACTGGATTCAGAGCCAAATATTGTTATACGATTAATTGAGATTAAATAATTATGAAGCCTCTAATTAATTAAATAAATGTTTTTAATTGAGTCCCACCCATAATTGAAACCACTAAGAAGCAGCTATTAAAAGCCATTAAAAACAAGTACACCTGGAGGTTGTTCCTCACTGAATGTAAAAATAAGCTGCTACTGAAAACATGACATTCATTTTAGATTTCTGCTAAATATAACTCTGAAACCATTTCTAACAATAAACATTAAACTTGTCATGCATTGTTTTTGTATTCATTAGCTCCTTAACTCGTGACATGTGTTTCTGAAACTGTCAAGATGCTCGTCTGGATAGTTTTTGTGTTAAAAAAAAAAAAAAAGTCTTTGTGTAGAAGCCGGCTGTGGTTTCTGCTTTGTTTCCTCCACAGTAGTTTTTAGCTTGTTAACATCTTTAGCTCTTTCATATCTTTTAAAGACTTTCACCTGAAAAAAAACAAACAAAAAAAGCCCCAAAAAACACATCTTAAATTCTGTCAGTAAGAGCAGCAAACCTGTGTAGTCAAAATGAACAACCTTTGGGCTCTACGGATCAGTTACAGAGAATTTGGAGATTTGGAGATACATCTCCTCATCCCGATCACCGGGGCAGAGAGAGCGGAAAGTTGACATTTTTTACTTCCACCAAACCTGTTCTAAAAATCTCCACCACATTTGATTGCAACAAAAATAAAGTACAACGACGCTGCATCTATTTGAGTCACCACTGCACCAGACGGCTTCGTCCCTGAATGCACCACACCTGGCAAACTTTAAAAATCTGCACCGGCTCGGTTCTCGTTCGGGGACTTCCGAGGTAAAAATGGGGTTGATAGAATCTGACTGTTTTATAGAAACATTTAAGATCCTCTCCAGCATTTTCTTAAAGGTGCCCATTTTAAGTAAATTAATGAATTTGAGCTAAAAATGTTGTAAAGTTGTTCTAAACTGTCTGTTTCTGCGTTTCACCATACTGGCAGTGCATGAAAACTCTTGCGTTCACTCTTACAGCCGACATGTGGTGGGCGGCTTTGCTCTTGGCTCAGACATTTCTGAGTTAGCAGCTTCTCTACAGACTGAATAATCCTGTCGGACTGTGAGGCAGCTGCTGATTCTGAGTGCTTCACCTGGAGGCAGTGAGGAGGCGGAGCTATGCTAAGCTTTAGCCCAACAACTACTGATTCTTCAGCACCATCTGGTTGAGGAGGAACTGTAGTAACAGCAGTAATAAGCAATTTAATTTAACACCTCCCAGTTTTTAAAAACACACAAAACATAGATTTTCCCCTTAATGGGCTCTTTATTCTATGAGTGTTTTCCCCTTAATGTGATACAGCATTTTGTGGCTCTTTTATTCTGTCATTTGTACGGTGGCCCAGAAGTGTCACAACAAAACAAAAGCCACAACACAACCAAATTAATCACAACACTACAAAATTAGCCGCACCACTACAAAATTAGCCACAGCACAACACAATTAGCCGCAGCACAACACAACGGCTGCAACGGAAGTTGTTTGCAACGGAAATGTCCGCATTAACAAGTCAAACAAGCAATGACTCTTTATTTGTAAATCAAAGTTAACAAGTGCTTTAATAGCGCATACCGAGATTAATAGACACTATTCGCCATCAGTATTTTACTTAATTTCGAGTCGTTTCCAACAATCTCCGGCTTCTGCCCACTTCGTGTGGTTGCGCACTTCACAGTATAACTTCCGGGTTAAAAAAAAAAAACAACTTCCATTGCAGCCGTTGTGTTGTGTTGCGGCTTATTTTGTAGTGTTGTGGTTAATTTGGTTGTGTTGTGGTTAATTTTGTAGTGTTGTGGCTTTTGTTTTGTCGTGACACTTCTGGGCCACCGTACATTTGCATCCACTGGTATTTGTTATATTGATCTCTTCTGTAAAGCTTTCACCATGTTTAACTCCACTCGTTCGTCTCTCTGGTGGCCTGACCAGCCTTCTGTTGTTCAACGCGAGTGTGGAAAGCCCTCAAAAGTTGCATAAATAAATGTATTATGAAAGTTACGCTGTGTTCAAACTGAGCACAAAATCAGTGACTCGGTTTTTAACGACGACCCTGTTCCTTCAAATAGATACAAATTTTGAGCGTCATCTTTAAAACGTTTCCCTAAATTACATCTGGCATTATTTAAGGTCGGTACGGGGGGTAAAAATAAAAGTGCACGTCATGAGGCTGAAACATCTGGCTGGCCTGCAGGCGGTTCTGGGTGATAAACTCACGTTGCATCACAAGCGTTCAAGTGTCGCAAACGTTTTCACCAATTCTTATGACTTGCAGCTGCAGAGTTCCGCTTTTTAAAAAGAAGCTCATCACACCTTCGGTTTCATCACGACAAAGAGGAACTGGAGCGGCTGCCCTCTCCCTCACTTTCAGTACTCATATTTTGCTGCAGAAATGAGAGTGAATGTATTTGTTTTGCGCTGATGACCTCTGCACCACGTTTGCGACGGTTCTTACTTCTCCTTCCAGCTGAATGATGCCGGTGGAGCGTCTCTCCGTCCTCCCTCGTCGTCTGTCCCTCACTCCCAGACGTTTATCCCCCTCCGACTCCACCAGCTTCACCGGGTCTGTATCTGAAACAAACAGAGGTCGACACAAAACGCTCAGGAGGGGTGTCGGACCATAAACCGAGTCAAACGTCCAACCAGGTTAGCTGTGGAGAAAAATCACACCTAACCATGTTGGTGTTGTATTCCAAGTATCTCTGCATAAAACAGACCTGCTTCCAAATTAAACTTTGTGTGATAAAGGTCTTATCTGCACCGTCAGCCTTAGTCAGGCCGATTTCTCTCAGATGGCGAAACGCTGCCCGTCCTCAAAGAAGAAGCAAAACAAACCGACGTGGGTGGAGTGTGGGAAAGAGGACAAAAACCGAGATAAAGAGGTCAGAAGAGAAACCACAGAGCAAGTGGCAGCCGCCCGATATGATCGCTCTCCACTCAAGAGGCAGCAGCTGTAGTAGCAAAGTGAGAAAACCACATTTCTATATCCTGAAGAGCACTCCACCCTGAACCTGCTTCATACGTGTCATTTCTATTAGGCAGTCGTGCACTTACAGTAAATAAAAACAACACTGCGGGCAGAAGACGGGGGAAAAAAAAAAGCACAATCTATTTTTAAAATGACAGATTGGTGGACGGTCATTTTAAGGATCCTATAAATGCGGCTGCATTTTACAGTCAGAGACTAAGCAGTCTTCAGTGACGGTGACGCCATTTCCAGATTACTCAAATGTGAGCGTTATGTCTCTGAACCACACAACCCATCGACAAGTTGCAAAACACGTCTTTTTTTTTCAAATGAAATCTGCCAAATTATGACATTTATGAGAGCTACAGACCGTAAAAACAAGGAGAATATTTGAATTTTGAACGCTCCTGTGATTTCTGAACTTTCGGCTTTGTCAGAAAATTAGAACAGCTTTTGTGTTTTTACTTGAACAACGGCCACCATCGGTTCCTTACAAGCAAAAGAGAACAGACTACAATGTACAATAGTGCTGCCACGAACTAGTTTTCTATTGATTCATCTATTTTACCATCTGTTCTGTTAATCTATATAACTTAATAGAAGGTTATTTTATATTGACAAAGCACAGTACAAAACAGTTTATATGTTAAAGTGCAAAACCGTCGAGCTGCACTTGAAACACCCATCCATCTATCATCTATACACCGCTTAATCCTCACCAGGGTCATGGGGGGCTGGAGTCTATCCCAGCTGACTCAGGGTGAAGGCAGGTTCACCTGGACAGGTCACCAGTCTATCACAGGGCTACACTTAGAGACAGACAACCAAGCACACTCACATTCACACCTACAGACAATTTAGAATCACCAATTAACCTCAGCATGTTTATGGACCTTGTGGGAGGAAGCCGGAGAACCCGGAGAGAACCCACGCTGCATGCGGAGAATATACAGAAAGATCCCGGGTGTCCTCACCGGGACGTGAACCGGCGACCTTCTTGCTGCGAGAAAACGGTGCTAACCACTGAGCCACCTTGCAGCCCTCACTTGAAACAAACATGATAAAAACAAAAAGAGCTATCTGATTTCACATTCACAGCACAGCCGTCGGTTTTTAACTCGTGTTTCGTGAGTTGTTGGACATCGTTACGGTTATAAAGTCAGAAACTGTAGCCGCAGAGCTTCAGCTTTCATGTTGGTTCTGTTGTCTGACAACTGCAAGAGAAACATATGTGAAGAAGAAGATGTTTATCGGGGATTTAGCTGCATTAAAACAGCATGCGTGAGAGTAGGAGAGAAGCTAACGGGTGTCAGGTGGTTCTGTGATCCGCCATCCAAACTTTGAACACTGTGACTATCTGAAGCTCTCTCAGACCGCTGAAGCTTTGTTTTTAGCGAAACTTTTAAACTTCAAACTAGATTTAAATCGTAGTGCAGCCGACCAACGACTGCAGCCTCAAACTGCTGACTAATGCATTAATGCTGCACTAAAACATTTGTTTTAATCAAGTTTAAAAAAAACAGGCAACTGTTAAAGATACTGATAAAATCGATGAAGCAGCTCTAATCTGCAGCCTGGCAGCTGGATGCCATTAAAGTCCTCCACACTGGTCCTTTAGAGGTAATAAGGGCCGATCAAATTGTTCAGCGACTCGTTTAGAGGAACAGCTGTTGTGCTGTCCGACTGTTCGGTTACAATTGTTCACTCAAAGCATCCCACAATGCACCGTGCAAAGCAGATAACAGCCGATGGCCATCAGCCAAGAAATATGTGCCATCATGCATCGAGTGGTAGGAGATCAGCAGACGGGCAAGAGAGGAAATTCAGGATTGGTGGCATTTCTACAGATTTCTGGCTCTATTTTATATCTTTAAGGTGTATTTTATTGGATTAAGATGTATTTTACTGTGTCAAGGCAAAGTTTTTATATCGTTAAGATGCATTTTATTGTGTTAAGAAGTATTTTATAACGTTAAGATGTATTTTGTTCGGACTATATATTTTCTATATGTGCAGAGACAAATCCAATGCACGGCTCCAGACCAGCTTTTTCACTGGTAGCACCGGTGCGACCGACTTTCTTATTTGGTTGGGCCTCTGACCTCGTCCTGGGCAAAACACATCACTGAGGAACATCTGCTTATCGATAGACGCTACAATTTACAGATGTTCCCTGAACGCCCCACATAGCAGGTTGTGGTAGCTGCTGCTTGGTGGCTGCGATGAGCTCAGACAGGTGTGTGACCGAGAAACACTTTGAAAATAGTTAAACTGGGGCGTTCTGATGTGTCCACATTCCAGCGAAGTTCTAAAAGTGGTGCTTTCCACCACTGTGGTGAACAGCAGCTGCCTGCGCCGGCTGCAGCGACACTAACACAGCTGAATGATCATCATGCACCCGTACAAATGCGACCCGCTGAAGTTTGACCTCAAACAAAAAAAAAGTTGCAGTCTGGAGCCCTGTCCAAGAATAATGTAAAATAAAAAAATAAGAATTAATATGGTTCATGGAAGCAGAGCAACAAATCACAACACAAACAAGCTATTTCCATTGAACAATTTTGGAAAATACACTCAGTATAATATGAATTTCTCACAAAAGCATCGATCTGATGCGTTCTAATGGGGCGACGGCAGCGATTAATAGAGACTCGAATAGAGTCTAGAGAATAGAGAAGCTTCATACATGGTTCACTTATAGCGGTCAAAGGCAGACACAGCCCATAAATCAAGGTTAATTCAGACATGTTTATTCCCCACTCACCCCTTTCAGCCGGCGTCACCGTGACGATGGGGCTGACGGGTTGGATGTTTCGAGTTGGAGGATCGGCAGCCTTCGCCGCGCTCTTCTCCGCTTCCTTCAGGTCGGTCAGAGTCACACCCTGCAGCACAGACCAAAGACAGAACAGAGGCCTCGTGAACGCTCGGCAAAAATATGCAGCCTTTCCACGCAGCTAAACATTTGAACCTCAGGTATGCAGCTGTTAACGTTACCTGGAATAACGAGGTCAACCACGTGATTACCCAGGAAATGACTGCGAACCCTGTCCGGGCAGGTTAGCTGTCGTTCAGAATCATAACATACTACTCTGTTTGCTCAAGTGCTCGATTATCTACAACATCTGCAGCTCAAACACTACAGAGATTGTTAAATAGGCCGAGTGGGTAGAAGTAAACAGTGACTACTGCTCCAGACGACGAAAATGAAGGAAAAATGATTTACACAGTTATAAATACCCTTAATGCATGAACGAACCAGAATAAAATACGAACAGCTGCATTCACCTGAGACGACTCTGTTTCTTAATTAACACGTGAAGAAGAAAAAACAAAACATGAAATGATGATAGTAAAGCTGAACAAAACCATTCTGGTTTAACTGACGGTCATTCAAGCTCTCCTTTGTGTCTAAATATGTAAGTGCAATAAAACCTTCACTAGTGCAGAAAACCAAAAGGATTAATTTCTTAAAACACGTCTTCAACAAGCAGAAACTTGCTCTAGCTGTCAGGCTGCCTCCTGCTCACCACCGGTATGCTTCAGATGCAACGCGCTCCTCAGGCTAATATCAAAATATTATGAACGAGATAAAATGCGACACGTACGATTGTCTGCTATTGCTGCTCGAGATCTTTTTTTTTTTTTAAACTCTAAATAAATACTTTTCTAGAAAGAAAATAACATCAGTAAAGTACTGGATAAAGGCCATCCGAATGATTTTACATCACAACCTTTGCTTGATAAGGAAAACTCACACAGTTCTCAGTTCCCACGGTCAGGAATCAATAAAGTTTAGCTCATCGTTTATCTAACCTTACATCTGGTTTGCCGTACCTGTGTGGAGCGACGAGACTGACGCATCAGCCGAGAGCGAGCTTTCCTCTGAGACTCGGACTCTTCATCTCGAACTGGAGCCTGAAACCTACAAAAAAAAAAAAAAACATCCACAAATTAATATCCTGCACACTTTGACCACTAAACGCACCACACGTCTGTTTGAAATCAGAAAACCTGGACGGTGCAACCCACAGGACACAGTATCCTACGTTAGTGGATGCAGGATGACTGCAAACGCCTGAGCAAAAAGCCAGTGAACCCACAGGTTATAAATGCTACAGCTGCACAGCATCTTGTTTTTTTGTAAGCATCGACACTGTGATTGACACAAGTGACATCATAGGAAGTGAAGCAAGGTGAAGCAACTTAAACATATTAGGTCGCAACGCTTTTTCCGCTGCTTGATAGAAAACATATTTCAGCGTTTGTAGACGTGCAGGTTCCACACGTGCACAACAAAATGAGACCGAAGAGGACGGTCTAGTGGTAAAAAAGAAATGTAATGTCAGTTGCATGGTAATATTTCTGCTCCTGAAAGCATTCTTTTGCCCAAAAAACAGGTTCTCTGTCAGCTCTGTCTTTGGCACAACACCAGGCAACATGATCACTTAAATCCAAACAAATCTTAATCTGAACATCATCCAAAGCAAAAAAACAAAACTATTTTGGATGCCTTTTTCTGTGTTAGACAGTATGAGAAAGGTTGCAGGAAGATCTACCGATGCATTAACGCTTCACCCGAATGACATAAAACCAATTAAGTTACCAAAGAGAGGTTTAAAAACACGATTCGGTCACTTGACAAGCGGTATGTAACACCATCACACGCCCACTGTTCTGAAGGTGCCACCCAGAGCTGTGTGAAAAACACAAGTCGAAACAGAGCTGGTAAAGTGGAATATCATGCAGCGACAACAAACTCTATAGAAGTCCGATTGTCTACTTTATTAACAAGCAAAAAACAACCAACTGACAGCGTTAACCAGATGACAACACCGGAACGGGGATGAGACAAGCTGCTCGTGGCCTCGATAAGAGACGTCCAGACGTCGTGGTGAACACAGTAAAGGCTGCTGCCGGCCACAGACTGCATCTTACAGTTATTAAGTTATGCCCATGTTATGCTTACTGAGCCGCAGACAAACAAAGTATCGCAATGTCGGTCAAATAGCGTGCAGCCCGACTGTGTACGGTGGATTACACGCTGAAAAAAGGTTGTTTGCGCCGCTAAACGTGGGTTGTAATCCAGGTCTACTTTAACACACACAAGCATCGTCTACATTTTTACAAATTAGTCATCTGAATTAAGGCTTTTAAACTTTTTGCTACTCAAAAACCACAAAGCCGTCGCTCAAGGAGACCTATTATGCTTCAGTCTTACACTTAAAAGCAGTCAATTTTTTTAAAATTTATTATTTTTTTTACATCAGTTGTGTACAAAGTAGCCACTTCGATAAAAACCTCCTGCTTCAGACTGCTCCAAATGTTCAAATCTAATAGTTTTAGTGGGATTGCACACAGTATGCAGACATCTGGGACATATTTCTTTGTTGTTATAGTGCACCTAAAGCTCGTTATCTCATGTATTTTTAAAAAAAAAAAATTTAAAGATATTTTTTTGAGCCTTTTTTGGTTTTCTTGGACAGGACAGAGAGAGGAAGACAGGAAAGTAGAGGGAGCAGAATGGGGGATGGACCTGCAGCAAAGAGTCATGAGCCGGACTCGAACTCACGACCACTGTGTCGGGAACTTTAGCCCCGGTACATGAGACGCCAGCTCAGCGAGGTGAGCTACAGCGGCACCCATAACTCGTGTTATTATAAACGTGAGGCGCTGTGATGTATGTTCTGCTGTGCACAGAAAGATCAGAAAAAACAAGCAGCTTGCAAACTATATACTGTCACTGGATGCAGTAGCACATCCTGATATTTTTGGTGTTTGACCGACTGTATACTGTGGCGTACCAAGCCTTTTTCTGCTTCAGACACTGCACAACCACAAACTGGGGAAAGGCTTCCAGAAGCCAGCCAGTCAGAAGAAAGTGGACTTTTAAAGACACAGCAGCTACAACGGCTTGTTTCAGGCAGACGGGCTGCATGAGATGAACATGGCTCCTCAAGCGGAGTCACAGAGCACAAACAGCGTCGAGCAAAAAACAAAGAGGGCGAATGTGGATGTTTTTGTGTGTTCCTGCTGTTTCGTACTTGCGTCTGTCGGCGTTGGGAGTGTTGGGACTCTCGGCTGCAGCGTCCCTCATCTGAGGAGTCGGCTGGACTCTGGCGGTTCGGTTCGCTTTGTCCTGCTCCTTGTCCTCCTCCTCGTCTTTTTCCTCTGGTGTCTGGAGCACACAGGGGAGAAGGAAAAAGACAAACAGCAGTCAGTCTTTTGGGTTAAAATGCTTTTATCTTTATCAAAGGTGTCTGCTCATGCTGTGGTGAAATGACAGCCATGTGGGCTCACACTCTCAGATTTGAAAGATACTACTGTCGGTTTTAAAATTACATTACACAAAGACTATTACTCCTGTTTTCTCACTTCCTAATATTTGTGTTGTACTTATGCAAAAATGCACAGTCATGCTAACGCAACACATACAAGTAGTAACTGTGAACATGATTCTGCATTCAGTATCAGTATTTGCGTTCCCGTGCAGAATCATATTAGCGATTTCATCACGGACCAAACCTTCATATTGAGGATCATGTTGAAGAGGTCTGCAGCTACGATCCAGAGACCAAACGGGACTCTTGTTGTGTGTTTCAAGACCAAAGATGGTGTGTTTTAGATCAGGAACATTTACAAGTTTGAGCATGTAAATGTATCCTCGTGTTCGGACTGTTAAGGCAGAGCTTTAGCATAACGCCCTGCAGCATTTGAGGGAGAACATTCATCGAGAACAACCTGAACCATGTCGTCGTATCGATTAGATGCTCGATTCGTTCGCAGCAAGCTGAAAACAGGCTACTTTGTTTAACGCACGAACACAATAATCTCTACCCACCCACCCACTCTACTCCCTGCAACTCCCTGCTGTGCCCAAAAATGAAACTCAAGCTGAACGCAACAGCAGTTTTGACAAAGTAGAGGAAACCCAGCACTCACTGCAGATGGACACAATTACATAAGAGGACTTCCAGGGAGTGTCGCAGGAGCACTAGGAGCAGTGTAACGCTGCACAAGGACACTGAATCAGGTGCGATTCTTTTTTTTTTGCTATTTTGAAGGCACAGACTTGAAAGAGTGCATACCACCATCAGTCATTTTTTAAATTCTTCTTTTTCAGCTATTGTTGGTCACACAGCGTCTCACACACTGTACATAAAGATGGACGTCATGACAGCTCCCTAAAAGTGAAGCCAAAATATCTCAGAAATAGACATCTGCACAGTAGCGAGCAGGTGGTGGAGACGTAGTTTTTCCATTTCTTTTTTTTTTTTAAAGAGATTTCCACTAACCTCTTGCGCAATATTGAAGCTGGTGTGTCACATTTTCTCATGCAGCTTTCTACACAATATATTGCATTGTGTATTGCAACACTTGTACAAGAAAGACAGCTGCTGTGTGATTTCCCAGATTTTTACCTTGTCAGCGGGGCTGACCGTAGATGTGGTCACACTCTCGGTGTCCGGGCTGGAAGCGGTGGAGCTTTCTGAGGGAACAAACAGAACCGGCCGTCTTTAGGATCGGCACAATGGCACAGATTTACAGTGAATGTAACGCTCGTGGTCAGACTAGTTCACCTGGGCTGCCCTCCTTCTCCTCGCTCAGCTCCAGTCCTCCTGAGACTCCCCTCTCTTTAGACTGGTCCTGTACGTTCATCTTGTCCTTGCTGCTCATCCTGCAAACCGAGCTCCTGGAAGCAAGAAACGGACACGTTTTTAGGTTACATTCACACAAAAGCTCAACAGTGGGATTGGAAAGCATGTCATAATGTTTTTTTTTTTATTGTTAAATGACACCATTTATCATAGGAGGAAGGAATTTTTAACTTTCTGATGGTTCTTGAACAAATGCTATCTGACTTTGTTTCATTAACCAAATCTAAGCTTAAAATCTGTTTTCTCTTAACACATTCTGTAAAAAAACAAAACTTCTGTGCTCCTCGGTGCAATTGTGAAACTATGACTGACTCAGCTGTGCCCAACAGTCACATGAATGTTGAACTGAGCTGCACGCTGTGTTGACACGGAGCAGACAGGAGACAAGCAGGGAAACAAATTAAAAATGTACTGAATGAATGCAGCATGGTTTAGGAGCAAGTTGTTGGACGATACACTCAGCATGGTGAAACATCTTTCTAGCGCTGATGTGCACGGTTGAGTTTCTCTACTTGGAGTCATAGTTGTGCTGTTTCTATAGAGATGCAAAACTTTATATTGCAGTGAAAATAAACGTGACAGGACCAAAAAAAGAAACTTCTTGAGGTTCAGAGGGTTAGTTATTCGGCACCTTTTGTCTTTCGTTTCACTGTGTGTCTTTCTGTGGGTAGGTGGTTTTTCAGAATATGCATATATAATAAATTCTGGATAAGTAACAGATGATACTAACCTCCTCCGCTTGTTTTGTGCATTCGCAGCGTTGGAGCCTGCTGAGTTTTGCCTGTCCAATATGGAACGTTCATTACGCCACTGAAACAGAGAAAGACAACAATCAGCCTCTCAATGACCAGAAGTGAATGCACAGTAGTGAATAAAGATCCTCACGTTGGCTTGTTTCTGGGATAACTCCTCCAGGAGCTCTTCAACGCTTTCGTCAGCTACATCAAACGGCGTCTGACCCTGCAAAGTTCACGTCGCAGAGAAGAAATCGACAAAATGAAACCTCACATGAAAACGCAAACTGAACTAAGACATATTTCCGCTATTTTCCGAGGCCTCACCGCGTTGCTGCGCGCCTCCATATTGCACAGCTGTTCAGCCAGAACGCGACAGGCCTCGCCCTGACCCCAGTGCGCTGCAGCGTGGAGAGGCGTCCAGCCATCGAAGTCCACAGCAGACACATCCAGCCCACACTGACAGAGTATCCTGAATCAGCAGAGAGACAATGTGAGCCAATGAAAATGCATCCTCTGGCTGTGAGTACATCAATTACAGAACAAGTCAGAAGAGTTTACTTCAAGGCCTCTAGGTAGCCTTTAGCTGCAGCTACGTGAAGCGGGGTGGCTCCAGTTTTTGGGTGTTGAACATCAGCAGGCGGACCTTCGGTCAGCCAGGTCCGGGCATCTACCATGATCTGTTCCTCCTCCAGACGCTTGGCTGCATCCAAGTCCACACCTGGACAAAAACAAAATGTCCTCTGATTTAGCTTTGTCCACACCATTCGATGGTTCCTTTGAGAAGAATACTTCCTTATTTTTCACCATTCTTCGCACAACTACTTCCGTCACTTTACTCACAAACAAGTGCAACACCATGAATGCCTTCCAGGAAAGCCGGTCCTAAGGTGTGGACCCGTATCCCCACTTGACACATTCATAAACACTTCCAAGGAATCTGCATGCCAAAGACTTTACAACAATCATAAATCTGCCATTAGGTCTCTGTAAATTAAGCCCCGTCATCATTGAGGATGCTTCAGACATGGCTGGATAAGCCCTCAAAGCCATCTTGGTAACACCCCAGAGCAGGTATTTAGGACTAACAAGATGAGGTCACCTTTATAAATGAGCCATAAGTGCAATTTCAATGGTGGCCGGGACATAAAAGCTGCATGTAAAGAATAAAGATGTGCAACAATACATCTAAAGTTTTCTGGTTCAGCTGTTAGAAAGACGACGATTGGCTTCTTAAGAGGGGGAGCAGAACATTTATCATGTAACTGTCATCGTTGCATTTACAGAATTCTCCCACAGAAAATCTAATGAGGGCATTTTTTTTCTTTTTTTAAAGGTTGCACGTCTCTCCCTGATGAATACATGCATTTGGCAACAACAATAACACGCACACACACAACACATTATATGCAACGTGACATGGCAACCACAGAGAGAAAAAAGTCCAGGTTCTGTCCGTACTATATCCAGCACCACTACCAGAACCCTGTGCAAACCCTCGGTATGGCAACCAAGAGTGTGAAAATTAGTTTCCTTTTGGTTTCCACACACAAACAGGGTTTTAGTCCACTGAACCGCAAAACCCGCCGGCAGCTTTGACAGACATGTTGTTTTTACAGTGTCACCAACAATCTCACCACTTTTCAGAAACCACGAAAACTAGAAGAATCAACAGATTTTCAACATACTCGTCTGTGACGTGCCGTTTCATTGGAAAACTTAATGAAGTCGGACCCTTAAGCTGTGATATTTCATGAGAATCACTTTATTCTACATGTCTCATTTAGCAATTTGTCAAAAAATAAACTGTTCTCACTAACCACATTCTGCAAAAAACAAAAAAAAAAATCTGTGCTCCTTAACACAGATAAAAAGTCATTAGTGACTCAGGTGCAACCAACAGTTAGGTGGGAAAAATTCTGGACGTTTTAGCTGAACTGGGCTTAAACAAATGTAAAAAATAAGTGGCAGGATATTTATAGTATGTAGAGACACCATTTTTTCCAGTGTTGGTGGCTGCTTGGACAAATACGGTACCTGTTGATTCAAGTTTTTTGTTTTTTTTTAACTTTGTGTTTTATTTTCCTATAATTTATGTCATAACTGTGGCAGACTGCATGAAATATATTCTGGACTTCCTCTTCTTCTACTCATGGTTGTTCTGTTTCAGTACAGGTGCAGGACTTTATATTGCGAGTGAGTGAGTGAAAATGTGACAGCTGCAAATAATGTCCAGAAACTGCCTTAGAGGTGTTAGTTTAACAGAGAACGTACTGAACTTAAACACAAACACATAGTCCTGACTGTTCACAAACAAAACTACGTGGCACGTTGCTGTCAGAGAACGTCGCTCACCCTGTCTCAGAGCGTAATCCTGAATGAGTGACTCGGTGGTCTCATCCAGAGCGATGTCCAGAGGAACATCACCGTCACAGTTCACAGCAGAAAGAGATGCTCCCCGCTGCAACAGGAAACTGACAAAAACAAACATGGACAGAATGACAATATATTTAACTCCAGGAAGACAATAAACTCTGCTTTAACTCCTAATCATCTATTAAACACTCCTAAACATCACATCATATCTGTATGGAAGGAGGGGGGGGTGTGCAGATACATTCAGCCTGAAAGCCAAAATGCATTAGTCACTGACAAGGAACAAAAGACTATAGAGAAAAAAAGTACATCATTGTTAAATCGTATGAGCTGCATGCATTTGTGTGCCATGCCAGCCCACTCATGCTTTAGCTGACTTGTTGTGCTGCCAAACACGACAACAATGTTAGCATTGTTGAACGCAGAAATGCTCTGGCACCCACGCTGCACTGTGACGTCCCCACAGTGGCAAACAGTACGGCTATGCACAGCTGTAATGCTGCTGTGTTCTGCTGAATGTTAAGGCGAGTACTACACACTCTGCAATGTCAGGGTAGCCGCAGGAGGCCGCGACATGCAGCGGCGTCCATCCCTCGCTGTCCACCTGGTTCACGCTGGCACTGCGCTCCAGAAGGAAGGTCACCATCTCCATGCTGCCATCAATGCAGGCCTGTGTAAAAAAAAAAAAGTCATGCACCAGTAAGTACCTATTGTTCATCAGCCAACAACTCCAGTGAAACCTCAGGAGGAGGGACTGCCTCACCTGATGCAGAGCAGTTATTCCATCAGCATTAGAACAGTTGATAATATCGGCCTCGTCATCCCCGTTCCTCCTTTTGGCTTCTTTGGCCTCCTCCAGCATCACCTGGGCCTCCTCGGTGTCGCCACTGGCACAAGCAGCCAGGAACTCCGCAGCGCTATCAAACCTCACCCTTTTCCTGGAGACAGACGATACAAGCTGCCACGTCAGTTCACCAGTTAGCTGTTGTAGCTAGTTAGCTAATTTAAACCCTAAAACACAGCTGCAGCTTCCCTGCAGGAAGGATCGATGAGATTTGATGCGACTGTCAGGAGGTTAATTACGCAATCCATCATTATTTTATAAGGACTGCTTTTGATAACTCTAAAATGTCACCAAATGTTCTGCTGTTGGTTGCAAGAGTGAACACAAGAGTCTTCATGCATCTGTAGGTGGATGATGAAATTTACGTCGCGCCTACACGTGTTGATGCAGATGTGGAAAGCAGCAATTGGCCTCATCTCCTGATTTCAGTCCTGTTGTAAACAGACTGTTTCAGCTTCTCCGTAAGGAAGAAGACTCTGGCTGTGTTCTGTTGCCCAAACTGATACACTTTTAAGTACACAAGAAAAAACCTAAAGTATACCCCAATACACAGTATGTCAATATCCCAGAAATACTCAAAAGCCCCACTACATCTGTTTGCAAGCCAACATGCTTTTCTGCATAGTTAGATCAAAAACTGTCACATCTTGCATGAGAATAAACAAGTTTGAGCCCCTGAGGGCGTACAGACAGAAGACAGCGGGCGGCCGTGGCTCAGGTGGTAGAGCGGTTGTCCTCTGATCATAGGGTTGGTTCGATCCCCTCTGAGGCTTCAAGTGTCCTTGGGCAAGACACTGAAGTTGCTCCCGATGGGAGGCTAGCACCTTGCATGCATAGCATTGGTGTATGAATGCATGTGAATGTGTGTGAATGAGAAACTTTGTAAAATTGTAAAGTACTTCGAGTGCCGCTAAGGTAGAAAAGCGCAATATAACTGCAACAGAGGATCAAAGGTAGCGGTGCATTCTTACGACAAAGTAGTATGTCACATGAAATAGTGTACACTTTGTAGGGGCAGCTGCAGTATGTATTTAAAGTAAAAGGGAAAAGAATGGCATTTGGAACACAGCTGACAGACACAAATGAATGTGAGCGATCTGGACTTTTCTGCCTTCTAACTTTCCCTGAGCCATTATTTGACAGCTGTTGTTTTTAACTCATGTTCAGTGAATTTGTCAGAAGCCGCTGCAGTGACAAAGTCGTATATTAGCTTGGAAATGGCTCTGAAGTGACTGCTGGTTTTTAAGAAGAATTTTCCTGTTGTTATGGTACCATTATGTTCTGTTCCTTCAATGCTGGGAGTGCATTAAGGCTCTTGTGTTCACTCTTGCAGCCAACAGCAGAACATTCAGTGAGTTTTGCTCGTGGCTCAGACTCTTTAGAGTTAACAAGAGCAGCTCTAGAGAGTAAATAAACCTGGTGGACTGTGAGGCAGCAACTTACTCTTAATGAATCACCTGTGAAGCAGTGAGGGGCAATGTTTTTTTGTAGTTTGACAGGTATCGGTTGCAAAGTTTCTACTTCGAAACTGGACAATAATCTTACCATTTTGTAAAGCTTGGGAGAAATGGAGTTAAGGGAGTGCGAGAGTAATGGTAGTAGTAAGAATCTTCATATTCTCAAAGGTTTTATTTGTCACATCCAAATATGTAAGACGTACAAAAGCCAATAAAAACCGGTTTCCACCCTATAAGACCTTTAAATTATACAAAGATTAGCAGTTGGGCTATGTTTAAGGTTTAAAGGAGATGCCCACTGCTTGTGTTATTGGCGCACTGGTTGAAAAATGCATATTAAGGAAAATAATAATGAAATGTGCAACAGAAAAGAAGAGATTTGTCTCAGCAAAGAGCAACAGTGGTCAAAATTTTGGGTATGAAGACCTTCATCTATCCAAGCTAAGGCAGTCTGCTAGTTAGCTAGCTAGCTAGCCAACACACACACACACAACAATCTCGGACCTCATAAATGCCCACTGGCAACAAAAATAAACATGAAATGAGCATTATCGTGTAGCAGCCGGATTCTGTTGTGCTGTTTGGTGTTTCCATTATTTTGTCCGCCCACTGTCCAAACCCACACACAGCCCTCCTCCCCCATTAGCATATCGTCGGATGTTTAAGCTAAGCTAGCAGGCTGCTAGCCGATCGTTAATTTAAATCTGGCGTCTTCGTACCGTCGTCTGAGGACGGGGCTTGGCTCATCTCTGCCCAAACACACTGGCTGCTCCGTCGGCGAGTCGCAGAGCTCGGCCTCGGGCTCCCCTGCTCCGTCCCCGGCGTCGCCCCGCCGCCTCCGCCTGGGCACGTCCGACGCCTTGTCGGTGCAGGAGCCGGCCCAGCGCTTCAGCTGCTCCCGCCGCTTGGTCCTCGCCGAGTCCCCCATGACTTAATCTATCCGCGGAGGACGGTGTTTTTAAAAATAAAACGCACAGAGGCAGCGGCAGACACACCCTCCATGTGTGTGCTTTCACTTCCTGGTTGTCGCTCTGGCTGCGCTCCTCTCTGGATGTGTACGGAGCCGCGGCTCGTGTCCGCGGGCGTCGGCGGCGCGCCCGAGCTGTGCGGGCCTGCCTGCGTGACGTCAGCGGCGGTGCTGCGCAGCGGAGCCTGCAGGGGAAACGCAAAAATAGATCTGACAAACACCAACGACTGCACCTCCTGCTATTGTGCTCTCTGAGGCTCAGCTTTATGTTTAAATTACACCCAGTAGCTGGAACAGGACGGCGACAGTGTCTAAGCAGGAAGGCTTTGTAAAGAATTTATGCATATGACTTGTCTTTATTAAAGTTTAATGATCTCTGAAGTAGGGATGTCCCGCTCCAGGTGTTTCGCTCCAAAAGCCTTTTAGTGTTTAGTGTCTGCAAGTTCTATTCAGCCATCCAACCCAACACCATGTTCTTAGATAATATGCACTTTACGTACATTAAAATGATTGAAATAAATGATTATTAGGCAAATGTATGTCTCTTTTAGACAGTACTTTTTATTTACATGGGGTTTTTATATTTTTCTTCTACATAGAATGTTTTATTTAGAATTTTTTAGATTTACATTTCTATATTTATTGCCTGTCTTGTTGTTGAGCTTTCCTTGCATGTGTGAGCTCACTTGGCAATAAAAGCGTTCTGTCTTCTGTAAAATCAACAACTGAGCAGCTCTCGATCATCTTTATCACTTCCAAGCTGTTGTTTATGGGTCATGAACTTGCTCTAGTTGGACAATGTCTGCTATGTAGCGTAGAGAAGCTCCACAGGCTCCACAAACTCCAAAAGACGATTGAATATCTGTATACTCCTATACTGTCTTGTAGATTAGCTGTCAGTAGACAAGCAGAGAGCATTGTGGGGGTTTATTTAGCAACAGGCTACTGTGACAAACACTTCTGTGATGCTTAATGACCTCCAGCCAGAAATAATGTGTTTAAGACACACCAGAATGAACACCGGAAGTGCAGATTACATCTACGACATTTTAAAGAAAGACGGGATTATTTTCATGGAAAATGTCTTCAGTATATAACTTTGATACCAAGAGAGTAGGTTTAAGGAGTTTATGCACTGAACTGAGAAGATTAAAAATATTACACTATTGCAGAAGAATCACAAATAATGGAAACTGACATGGTAATAGTGACTGAATCAAGGCATGAGGCTGTTTTTAAAATTAATGAAATTATTGTAACAGATATACAACATGATTGTGGTCAGCTCAACTACCTGCGATTATTTGTGAAAGGCCTGAGACACGTGTTTCCGCCACCAGGTCAGAGTTAGATCTGAAATCCATCCATCCATCCATCCATCCATCATCTATACACCGCTTAATCCTCACTAGGGTCATGGGGGGCTGGAGTCTATCCCAGCTGACTCAGGGTGAAGGCAGGGGACACCCTGGACAGGTCACCAGTCTATCACAGGGCTACACTTAGAGACAGACAACCAAGCACACTCACATTCATAGCTACGGACAATTTAGAATCACCAATTAACCTCAACATGTTTCTGGACTGTGTGGGAGGAAGCCAGAGAACCCGGAGAGAACCCACGCTGCACGGGGAGAACATGCAAACTCCACACAGAAAGATCCCAGGTGTCCTCATCAGGACGCGAACCGGTGACCTTCTAGCTGCGAGGCAACAGTGCTAACCACCGATCCACCTTGCAGCCCAGATCTGAAACCTGTTTTACTTTATTCAAAACTGTAAACTGGAGAGGGAAAACAGCAGAATAGCATAGAGCCACTGGCAGTGATGTTACTTAACCTGTTCAAAAACAGAAATGAATCAGCCTCCTCAGTGAGTGCAGCACCCTTGGCAACCTTCTAAAAATTATATTTTATATAACAGATTGTACCTGTGTTGGGATGTTCAGGGTGCAGGTCCTGAAATATTTACTTAAAACCTTGAATTTATCTGAATACATTTTTTCCAAATCTGCACCCAGCCATCAGGGCCCCGTGAAGCAGCCACGGTTGAACCAATCGATGCTAAGCCCACAGCGCTAACGCTCAGATAGCTGGTCAACATTCCAACATAGACACAGGGTCAAACTCCACATCACATGTTTCCTGTGGCTCCGTGGGTTCAACACGACCACTGAGCAGCCTGCGACCAACACAGAAGTAAGTTTATGTTTCATTTGCATGTATTTGTGCAGCGTCACATGTCGCGAATATAATGGGGTTGTAAAAAACGTGTCCTAGTTTTGAACCTTGTGGCTTTTGTCATGCGGTTTGCTGTTGGTGGGCTAAAAGAACGATGGCAGGGCAGCACATGAGCACAGACTGGTGACAAATTAACCCTCTGAATGCAAAAGCTGCCGGCAAGTTTGCAAAGCGTGTTATCTTTGGAAAAAAAAATAAAATAAATTGCATCATTTTTCAGAACTAGAAACTGGAAAAGCAGAAAGAATCGTCCGGTTTTAAACTTTCCAACGGTCCTTGAAGTACTCCTGTGGGGAAATAAACCAAAAGTTTGAAATCGTGACGCAACATCCGATCAGTTTTCTGTCATTTAAAAATCTGGCTAAAATAAACAGTTTGCAGTTATTCTGTAAAAAACTAAAAATGTGGTGCCTCTCAGGGATATTTTAAGTGTTTAAACGGTGACAAACAGTCATGTGACAAAAATAGAGACTTTTCAGGTGAACTGCAGGCTGTGTTTATACAAAGCAGAGAGGAGACAAACAAAGTAGAAATGCAAGTAGTAAAATATCTACAGCAGGGGTGTCAAACTCTGGCCCGCGGGCCAAATTTGGCCCGATTTGTAATTATATTTGGCCCGCGAGACAATACCAAATGACTGCTCGAGCTGCCCCCGGTATTATACTGTACAGCGCATTCACCGCTAATACTACAAATCCCATAATGCCCTGTTGTTGTTTTGGCACATCAATCAGGACAGGAGCCAGAAACTCCCTCTCCTCTGTGACAGTCGGCATAGCGACTTCACACTACAACTGTCACTGTGCCATTGATGTGTTTTTTTATTTATAATTTGATTTTGCATGTCTCCACAATTAAGTTATATATAATGTATGGTAATAAGCGTTGTTTGTTCCATATTCAATGTTAAAGCAAAATTTGTTTCGGTCCATATTAAAAGGTTCATTTGTTCAATGTTGGCCCGCGACTTTGTTCAGGTTTTAAATTTTGGCCCACTGTGTTTTTGAGATTGACACCCCTGATCTACAGTATGTAGAGTCACCGTTTGTTTTTAAGTGTTGGTAACAGCTGAAATGTAATTATGGAACACAATTTAATTGCCTATAAAGAGGACTGAAATATACAAATGATCAGGGTTAATACTGCAGAAAAGTGCTGGCATGAAGAAAACTAAAATAAACTGTAAACTGAAATTACATGATAAATATCTTTTTCACTTGAACACACTTAAATGTTTCATCTAATAAATTAAAAGAAATATTTGTATCATGTATTTTAACAGACTTTTTGTATGAAAAAATAGACATTTTATGATTATTCATAGCTTAGAAACTGCAGCTCTTGCACTGTGAAAACTGTTGTTTCTTCTGTGGATGGTAGCTGCAGACCCTCCTCTGATGGTTGGAGGTTCACGGAGAAGCTGTAAATGTGCACCGACCAGTGGCCGTGAAAACACATGTAACGTTGTTCTCGCAGATGAATCGTAGCAGCTGGACTTGCTTGAGTTCCTTGAAGACGTTTCACCTCTCATCCAAGAGGCTTCATCAGTTCTGACTAGTTGGGAGTTCCAGATACTGATATCAGATCTGTGATACTTATATCAGATGTAAGTATCTGGAACTCCCAACTAGTCAGTCAGACCTGATGAAGCCTCTTGGATGAGAGATGGAACGTCTTCAAGGAACTCCAGCAAGTCCAGCTGCTATGATTAACCTACCAGAATAACCACGACCTGGATGACTGAGAATCTTCACAGACACGTGTAACACTGGTCATGATGTTGTTAGCTCCACGTCATGCGACATCCCGACTCGTACTTGTGCACCACGAAGAAACCCCTGAAATTTTGCATCAACCTTTGCATATTCCCTCATTTAGTGGTTTCGTGGCGCGCAGTCATTCATCTGCTTTGGAGATTGTTGCTTTACTAAAACGGAGAGTAGCATCCTCAAACTTTGAACCAGATTTTCTAGATCATAGATAGAGAGGTATATTGTTCAAGTAGCTTCAAGGAAACCAACGCACATAAGAACATGCAACAAAAGTGCAAATCACGCCGGCCCAAGATATAAGACGCAAAAATTGCTGATTTTCAAAATACACGTGCAGAAATAGTTGGTATTTACAATGAAGACTATTTAAAGGTCTAAGCTCAGGGTAAAAACAGAAATAATCATGAGCATATAGGAGGGCTGGTTGGGTCGTGGCGGTAGTTATTGTAAGATATCAAACACATGTGAAAGTTATTTGGCCTCTTATCTTCTCCTTTCACTTCCCATTTTCATTTCCATTTGTGCCAGTTATAGGATGCCTCCGCAAAAACATCCGGCGGTGCACTCGATCCCCTGCCATGCCCTGACCCGGCTGGCCCGGGAGTGGCTGGCGGAGGACTCGCCGAACTTGGACCCGGCGGGCGTGTGTGTTGGCTCGCAGGAAGTGGAGGCGAGGCTGCTGTGCAAGACGCCGAACAGCATCCTGGCAGGAAGCCCCTTCTTCACCGCCGTGTTCGCCGAGGTGGGCTGCACCGTCGACTGGATCCACCAGGAGGGAGCCGACATCGGTAGGCGTTGCCACATCCATCCACTGCCCCAAAATAGAAATTCTGATTCTGTCTTTAATTGCTGTCTGCAGGTCCAGGTGCTGTCACCCTGACCGCTGTAGTGAGAGGCCCAGCCAGGTGCCTCCTCCTGGGGGAAAGGCCGGCTCTCAACTGCCTGGCCCGGGCCTCAGGGATCGCCACCCGATGCTCTCGGCTCCGGGCGACGGCGGAGGCAGCAGGCTGGCAGGGCGAGGTGGCCGGTACTCGCAAGACCACGCCGGGCTTCCGGGTGGTGGAGAAGTACGCCATGCTGGTGGGCGGAGCCTCCACGCACCGGCACGACCTGAGCGGGATGGTGATGCTGAAGGACAACCACGTGTGGGCGTCCGGAAGCATCACGGAGGTGGGCCGCTCAGAAAATACGTTCTTTAAGGTTCCTGAAGAACAAACAGGGACGAGCTAATAGCTAACAGCTGAGCGGTTAGGTCACATGACACGTGACTTCCTGGTTTCACTCACCTGAGGCAGGCTGCAGGTACACGCTGTAAAAGAAAAATATGTTAAGTTTGAAACAATTTACTGTTAATTTACAGATTTTCCCTGCTCAGCTGAATTAGTAAAATCACAGAAAAAAACATTACCTAAACCTACAAATGATGTCCACGTGAAAAAAGAATCATGTGTTAAATTTGCCCAATTTTTACTGCTTTTAAATTTAAAATTATTTTACAGATATGATTTGAAAGAAAAAATAGTTTACTGATAACAGGAAAATGAATAATAATCTTTTGTACTCATCATTTTACAGATTTTCTAGGTTTTGTTAAATTTGCACTACTTTTACTGCATTTAAATAAAAAATGAATAATTGTTTTCAAAGATTTTCGACATTATTTGAAAGATAAAATGTTATATTAAGGACTAAAAAAAAAAAGGTTGATTTTTTGGACTGGCGACCTGTCCAGGGTGTCTCCTGCCTTCACCCTGAGTCAGCTGGGATAGACTCCAGCCCCCCGCTACCCTCGTGAGGATTAAGCGGTGTATAGATAATGGATTGATGGAAATGTGTTGAAGTTGCAACAGCTGAGGTACAGGCTGTTCTGCACAGAAACCAGAACATCGTAGAAATTCCCTGGTTGCAGCATAAAAGTGCACCAACTTTAAATCCCTCAGAAAGAGGAAGATTATGTCCTGTGACTGTTTGACCTCCTCGTGATGAGTGTTTTGATTAAGTTAAAGGTGAAAGTTAAACTCTAGTTCTGCCCAAAATGATATGTTGTTTATTAAAAAAGTAAATTAATTTATGCTTGTTGGTTTATGAAAGCAAAGAAAGGATTATTTGAATATTAAATAATTGCCACGTGATTTAATTAACTGAGTTCGTTTACTCAGCTGCTTTACCAAAGTATAGTTTAAAGCTGCTTGTACTTTACTGCCTCTGCTATTGTTGTTTGCAGTCACGCTGAAGCGGTAAACAAACCAACCACGTGATCTTGTGTGTGTTCTGCAGGCAGTGAAAGCCTCCCGCTCGGTTTGTGGCTTCAGCAGTAAGATCGAGGTGGAGTGTCGCTCTGCAGACGAGGCCAGAGAGGCAGCGGCAGCCGGCGCCGATATCATCATGCTGGACAACTTTCAGCCTCAGGTGGAGACACTTGCTTCAAACGCTGCTCACGTCTTACGGGTGCTTACTTGTGCACTGTAAAAAAAAATTCATCTGTAAACATCTGGCAGGAACAGTAACAACAGAATACTGTAACATTCAAAAAACTGTAAAAAATAACATAAATCTGTGAAATAATTGTAGTTTTATCTGTTTTCAGTGCAGTGAAATTGTGTAAATTTATGGTCAACATGTATGTTCATACTTTTTCTTGAGAAATGCGTAAAACCTGTAAAATAACAACTTCGAAAAAAGTCCTTTTTTTTAAGCCTTTTTCAAATTTTCTTACAAATATCCACAAATATCTATAAAATAACAACAGCTTGCTGATTGAAATACAATAAAAATGGTGTCATTTTCATGTCAAACCTTGTGGGAGAACAAAATACCATTTCTCATTTTTGTTTTAATGTTATTTACAGTTTTGTCTTTTTGTTTTCTCCTTTGATTTTGCTAAATATTACCTGTAATTTAACAAACCTGGAAAATCAGGGAGAAAAAAACATTTAGAAATGATTTACCATTTTTCAATCTTTATTGTAATTGTATTTCTTTAATTTACTATTTGTAAAAAAAACAACAACTAAAAACTATGCTTGATGTGGACATCATTTACAGCTTTGTCCTGTTTTTTCAAGGTTAACATTTTCTTTGCTTCTTTTTTTTTTCACTAGATCCTCACTGTAATTAAACAAAACTGGTAAATCTGAAAGCTGACAGTAAATTGCTCGAAACATCACGGTTAAAAGCTGCTGAACAACATGAAGTAACGCAGCGATGTCTCCTCCTGCAGGAGCTCCACGTCGCAGCTCGGGCCCTGAAGCAGCAGTTTCCAGCTGTTCTCATAGAAGCCAGCGGCGGCGTCGATCCAGAGAACTTATCCTCGTTTTTATCTCCTCACGTGGACGTCGTCTCTCTGGGCTGCATCACTCAGGGCTGCCCGGTGGTGGACTTCTCCCTCAAGGTCCAGAAGCCTGCTGCTCGATGATTACATTAAAAAAAATGTTGTGAGATGTTGTTCTGATAAAGACGTCAGACTTTGCTTTTTTTAGTGTGTTCGTTTATTTCCAGGAAACACCTGTGGTTGCAGGTGAACCACGAGCAGTTTCTGTTGTACTGCACATCCAGGGAAGCAGCACAACCAGCAGTGAAAACAACTCCGACATGTCTTCTGCACCGTTTGACAGCTATAATTTCATAAATCATCAGAAAGAATAAACAAAAGTTGAATTTTGTTGATTGGTAATTTTACAAAAATAGAAAAAACCTAAAAACCAACACGTCCAACAAGTTTCCACACGTGTTAATAACTAAAGATATGATGCCTCTACACATTGTACATATTTCACTATTTACATGTTTAATTAGTTTCCATATCTGTCTCCTCTCTACTAACTCTGTCAGCTGAGTCACTGGCAGCATCACGTCTGCATCAAGGAGGAATGTCTGTGAAGGTTCTCAGTCATCCAGGTCATGGTTGTTCTCGTGGATTAATCATATCAGCTGGACTTGCTTGAGTTCCTTGAAGACGTTTCATCCAAGAGGCTTCATCAGTTCTGACTGACTAGTTGGGCGTTCCAGATACTTATCGCCTTAAGGAGCCATTAACATCTGGGTTTTGGTTTTAATTGGGGGTTTGTTGCTCCTCCCCCTCGTTATGTGAGTCGTTAGTGCTCCTCCTGCTACAATGGGGTTCGTTAGGGTCTTTTATGGCTAGGTGTGGATGTGGTTCCTGGGGAGAGATCTTAGGACTAAATTATAAACAGGTGAGAGGTGATGCCTCAGACCTCCACCTCTGTTGAGGGATGGTCTTTCCAGTTTGACACAGATGGCTTCTTTCACCCCTCGAACCATCGGTCCTCCCTGGAAAACATCTGTATGTTGTTGTAAGTAAGTAATGTTTTCTTTTTCACACAATCTGGTTTGTGCAAAGAGCTCATGTTTTGCCAGATGAGACATGTAGAATAAAGTGACTTGGATAAAATATCTGAAACTCTTCAACAGCAGAACTAAAGATTTGGTGAAAAATCAATTTTGTTGAGTTTAGTGAACCGTCAGCCAGACGTCACATGAGCTTCAAAATCTTATTAATGGAGCAACAATCCACCAAAAGAGCTCCAGAGTATTTATTAGAAGGCCTGACGTCAGCGACTGAAGGTGGCTTTTTTTGAAAACGATAGATTTTTTTTTTTAGAAAGAAGTTGATATTGAGTGGGAGTCAATTGGCGCTATGACAGAAACTGGAGTAGGCGTCTCTCGGTGGAAAGGAAATGTGCTGATATGAGTTCCTCTAACGTTTCTTGTTCCTGCAGCTGGTTCTCCTTCAGAAAACCAAAAACCCTCTGGTGCATTTTAAAGGAAGTTATCTTTTTTTTTTTAAAAGTCCAAATTACACCATTCATTGGATCCAGACGTGGTGGAAAATGAAAACAAACGCCTTCTGCTTTTAGATGGTTTTGTCGATGATATTTTAAAAGGTATTTTGAAAAAATAATAATTTAGCGCAAGAACAGAAAGAATCTTCAGATTTTAAACCTCTGAATCTCAAAACCGGCTGACGGATTTTTTTGTTGTTTTGTTTTTTTTTGTTTAAATATCCGCAAAATGAGCACTGTTGCCTCGCAGCAAGAAGGTTGCCGGTTCACATCCCGGTGAGGACACCCGGGATCTTTCTGCGTGGAATCTCCGTGCAGCGTGGGTTCTCTCTGGGTTCTCTGGCTTCCTCCCACACAGTCCAAAAACATGTTGAGGTTAATTGGTGATTCTAAATTGTCCGTAGGTGTGAATGTGAGTGTGCTTGGTTGTCTGTCTCTAAGTGTAGCCCTGTGATAGACTGGTGACCTGTCCAGGGTGTCCCCTGCCTTCACCCTGAGTCAGCTGGGATAGACTCCAGCCCCCTGTGACCCTAGTGAGGATTAAGCGGTGTATAGATGATGGATGGATGGATCTGCAAAATGAAACCATTCATCAGAACCAGAAACTGTAAAAACAGAGAGAATGATCAGACGGTTTGATTTCCATCGGCCCTTGAACTACTCATTGGTGTGGTTCTGTTGGAAATGTTTCACCGCATCTCAGCTCAAAATCCAGATATTAATCAAAATCACTTCATTCTGTGTGTCTTATTTAAAAATTGGCACAAAAAAATACCATATTGTGTAAAAAACTAAAAGCTCTGCGCTCCTCAGTGCAGACGTGGACGCTCTGTGACCAACAGACCAAAATGTGGGAACTTTACAGACAGAGGCACATTAATTTATCGTAGTTTCACATTCAGACAGTGTTTTTCTTTTTTCTTTCCTCCCAGTGTTGGTGACACTTGTGGACACTTGGGGAAAAAAAGGCTGTACATGTTGATTCCTGGTTTATTCAGACAAATAGTTAAAAATTGTGATGATTTTGGTTCTGAAACGTTTTGAGCCACGATCCCCAAGATAACATAAGTCTGTGTTTGTGACCCCCCAATTAGAGTTTTTAAGATATCATGAGTAATAACTTTGTTGTTTATGCATTAATGCGTTAAAAATGAACGTGTTAATTCCACAGATTAATCTCTTTACATTAACACATTCATTTTCCTTTAAATGAATGAATGAATTGAGTTTATTTCGAACAAATGAAAGGAAAAGAAATACAAAAACAAAAGAAAATAACTTTAAAAAGAGCAAAATAATAATAACAATGTCACATACTTTTCATTTTGACCGCCCTAATGCAAATTTATTTGATAAATGTAGGGTTAATTTTTATTTTTATTTTTTACAAATGATCTGGCGACCCTCCTGAAATGATCTTGGGGCCTCCGTGGGGGCTCCCAACCCCCAGTTTGAGAACCACTGTGTCGAACTGCAATGAAGACGGCAGTACAATTCTGATTGCAGGAGTTTTTTACTTTATTTTTAGGCTGTGTTTTTGCAGTTTTCGCTTAAGTTTTCTTTCTTTTTCTGTCTCGCCGCATCCAGCAGCCACCAGAGATCCTTTCGTTCTCTCTCAAGTTTCCGGCAAGTTCCTCATTTGTTGTTTAATAAACGTTTCCCACGACCCGTGTGACGAGTTGACGAGACAATTTTAAAGTGTTAAACCGACGAGAACCAATATATTCAAAAACACAACAACAAGAAGTCTGAGCCGGTGTCGAATCTGCTGTTGCTCAGTCTCATCTCTTTTCCTTCAATTATCAGACTGTAAAACCACAAACATGTCCACAGCTGGTTTGCTTCATTATGACAAGAACACCTTCAAAACAAGTCGAGGTGTGACCTGAAGGCCCTGATCTAACCCCAGCAGCTGCCTCCGCTCATCTGCTCCCCTTTTCTGCCTTGAAGGATGCTTTTCTTTTCTATCATTGACTGAAAAGTGAATGATTTAGGAAAGGAAAAAAAGGGGAAGTGTGAGGAAAGACTCGAGTTTTGTTTCGAGCAGAACTGACACAATCACCTGTTTCAGAAACGCCCTCGTCTAAAAAATCACACAGGAAGCGTTGAACAGTTTTAGTGTGTGAAACAGACCCAGCAGCAGCAGCAGCAGCAGCAGCAGCAGCAGCGTTCGCCTTCAAAGATGCAGCCTCGCATCTACCTGCTCACCTACATGGTGGCAGCTGGTAAGATCGCAAACTTTTCTATATTTCTGCTCACATGTGAGACGGTTTTTCATCTACAAAAGCAGCAACAGGGAGGATTTATGAGTTGTTTTTTGGGGGGGGGGGATTTTAAGACTTGAGACCCTGAAAGTCAAAGTTACAGCAATTAAATGAATGTTTTGTAGAATTTGTTGGATATCAGTAGCTTCATACATTTTTTTTCCCATATTAGAGTTTTTTTTTTTAAAGTTTCAGCCCTCACTGAAATGTCAAGAACTAAAGAACTCAAAGTACAGAAGATCAGGAAATCCTCACAATGAGCCACGAAGTCACACCTAGCTCAGCTCAGATGGTTTGTAAGAGCTTCATGCGAGTTTTACAGCTTTTAAAGTGTACGTTTTTGTTGCTCATTTCTACTGAGAGCATTTTGGGGAATATCTTTGAGCAGCAAAAACTCATTTTCTTCTGTTTGAATTGTTATTGGAGAGCTGGAAGGGAAAAAATCAGCAGAGAAAATAGTAAAACAAACTTTTTTCGATGACAATATGTTGTTGCCGGTTGAGAAAACTGAACAAAATGTGACTTTTTAAAGGGTTAAATAACTTTGCGTTAAGGCTCCACTGTGTAAAGCTCCTGTGGGCAAAGCTGGCTGTCTGTTGGTGTCAGATCCTGTCGCTGCTGCTTTCTCCGTTTTATTCACCATTAATCCTGTTTTAGGAGTTTCTAGCGCTGATTTTTTTGGACAATTTTAAATGTCTTTCTAACCGGCTGGTGGCTTCAGAGGATTAAATACTGACATTGCATTTTAGATTTTGCCGCCTGCATCAAAATTCGTCTCAGTTTCCCCTTAACTTTGCATTGCTTTGTTCTGCCTCATCACATGGCTTCTTGTGGTTACTCTGTCTTCTTGGCATCCTGCTTCTGCTTTGTGTCCCAAAGCACTCTGGTAAACTTTAAAATTGCAATCTAAATTTATTTTATATCATTAACATTAATCGGATAAAGGTGTTGTTTTTTCTTCTTCCTGCTAAATCACTGGCTTTTTTGGGTTTCTCTCTATGATAGAACATTAAAAGTCACAGAGCTCACTGATGGTGTGACTTGATGTGATATAATTAAAGTGTAACTGAACTGAAAGCAGGCTGCAGGTCAGTTGTTCACATTGTGTTTGCAGCTGCAACCATCCCTGTTGCTTTGACTTTCAACATCGACACGACAAAGCCAGTTGTCTCCAAGGGCGAGCAAAAAGACTTCTTCGGGTACAAAGTGCTTCAGTTCGCGTCTGGCGGAGACAAAGGGTGAGTCTGATTTTACAGCACGTTAGCTCAGTTCATATTAATAATTCCTGTAATTGCGGATGGCGTCGTCATTCTGGTGTGTGTGACTGCATTCGAGTCCTGTGAGAAGCTGCGACAGGTTGTGGTTTGACACTAAGACTGACAACGCATCCTGTCACTGACACACCGCTTACAAAAGCGTTTTCTTTTTTCCCCCAAAACTCAATTGCAAGTTCGAACAGATTAATAGATTCATTGTGACCCACAGGATAATCGTCACTGCACCTCTGCGGCTGAATGGTTCTGGGGGAATATTCAAACGCAACCAAGAACAAACCAAGTGGTTCAGCCCGAATGGTACAAACACACTCAACTGCCACATCGACCCTCTGAACCCCAAGTAGTTTCTGGGTGTTGTTTTTAAAACTCCTGTCACACGTTTATTCACTGTGGGCTCATTTTTCACTGCAATAAAAAGTCCTGCACCTCTGTGGACACAGAACAACCACGCCTAGAAGGAAAAAGAGTCACAGCTGACACAGTTATAATGCCGTAAATCGAAAAAAAATAATTCATTTCTGTGATTATTTGTTTTACAAACATTTTTTAAAAAGAAATAATTTTCCAGACAGCTGAAAATCCACTGATTCTTTCCATTTCCTTGCATCTGGCTCTGAGAAATGGTGTCATTTAGAGTAATTTAAAAGATAAGCTTCCCTTCAAACCCCTCCAGCAAGTTTTTGGGGTTCAGAGGTTTAAACAAACAAAAAGTACAGTTTCCAAAAGTACAAAAATATGAAACGCAAAATGACAAAAGTCACGACGAGGCTATAACGTTTTGTTTATCTCATAACAGAACATTCTCTGCCAAACGACACAGTTGTGAAGCACTTTGGCTTGTCGATGGCTGCCGACCCCACTGGCTCCCGGTTCACTGTAAGGAAATCACACTTTCTCTGCAGCATCCCGTCTCCGCAAAATGAATCCGTACATTGAATCCGACTTCTTCCATCCCTCGTGTTCTGGCTCAGGTTTGCAGTCCGAGTGTTGCCCATGAATGTTACGGGAACTCCTACCTGAACAGCATCTGTTATAACATCACCCATCAGTTCAAGCAAATCTCCTCTTTCACGCCCGCCTTCAAAAGTAAGAGAAGCTTTTTGAGCAAACGAATCCTCGATAGTTTTGTCATGCTTAAATAATCTCGACAAATTTTTACTCTGTTTTTTTTTTTTTTTTATTATTCCCAGAATGCACAAAAAAGACAGTGGACCTCGTGTTTCTATTTGATGGATCAAAGAGTATGACCGAAACGGAGTTTGAGATGAATAAGGTTTTCATATTGGATATAATGAAGAACCTTGAGGGCACGTCCATCAAGGTGGCTGCACTGCTGAGACATGATGCCTTTGCCGTTATTCACTAAATGTCGTACACTTTGCATAGTGATGTATAAATAATGTATGTTATTTCCTGTTTTCAGTTTGCAGCAGTTCAGTTCTCCTCAGGGTTGAGGAAAGTTTTTGACTTCAATGACTATCAAGCTGGTCGTGCTGTTGCTAAACTTCAGAAAGACGGCCACATGAAGAGTCTCACCAACACATACAAAGCACTAAATTTTGTGTTGTAAGTTCACTCACATTACAAACAACTGGCCCGGCACAACTACGACATCATGAGCACCTTATTTAACTCAAAATGTGTTTTTTTTTTTTTCTTTTAGGAATGAACTGATTGACAACACCGCTGCAGGCGCCTCTCCTGATGCAACTAAAGTTGTGGTGTTAATCACAGACGGAGATCCAAGTGACATAGACGGAAACCACATTATCTCAAGATATGATAAAAAAAACATCATTCGCTTTGTCATTGGGGTAAGATGTGATGTCTTATACGTCCAAAAGGTTATCAGTTTTTCAGCTAAAACAATCCCATGCAATGCCGAACTGTTCTATTCACTGCATAGTCGAAGCAGAGGGACATGGATCATGCAAATACTGCATCTTTAGCTGCTTTACAGACACATTTCCACCTATCTGGCATAGCCAAATGGAAACAGTGCCTGTAAAAAGTGTTCAACCCTTTTGGCGTCTGGAAACTAAAATTTTAGTTCATTCCTCTCTGCAAAACTGCTCAAGCTCTGTCAACTTGAACAGCAGCTTTCAAGCCCAACCACAGCATTAGGATTGAGGTCTGGGCTCTGACCGGGCCTCCACAACATTCACCTTGTCGTCTTTAAACCACTTCTGCGTAGCTTTGTCTTTTTGCTGGAAAACAAATCTCCTCCAAAGCCGTAGTTTTCCTGCAGACTGCATCGGGTTTTTTCTTCAGGATTCATATGTACTGTAGTTTTCGGACTATTGAGCACATCTGAATATAAGGCACACCCGCTAACTTTAAAAAGAAAAAAAAAATTGTACATATAGAGGCTGCACTTATCTATAAGCCGCGGGCGTCCACGTTGTCACATGAGATATTAACACAGGAAGATTTTTTTTAACTTTTCATTACCGGTAACATACACAAATACGTAAATGCTTTTTTTCCGAACAGTGCCTGTAACACGGCTGGTTAAATATAAAATAAAAATTACAGTCGCCTACCAGGAAAAGTCATTGATCGCTATCTTCATCTTCCTCCTGCGCATTAAAACCACTAAAGTCGTCTTCTTCAGTGTCGGAGTTGAACAGCCTCAGAATTACTTCACACTTCCTCAGTCTCTCTTTCGTTGTCGCTCTCAATGATACTTTCATCTCAAGGCATATTCTTAAAAAATCGTAAAAATCCATAAATTAGCCGCATCATTGTTTTAGCCGCGGTGTTCAAAGCGTGTGAGAAAAATAGCGGCTTCTAGTCTGGAAATTACAGTACTTTGCTGCATTTGTTTTACCCTTTACGTTTACAAGACTTCCAGGACCTGCTGCCGAGAAACATCCCCACATCACCGTGGTGCCACCGCCGTGCTCCGCTGTGGGGATGGTGCATTTGTCATGACGTGCAGTGTTTGGTGTCTGCCAAACATAGCACTTAGTCTGACGACCAAAAAACTTAATTTCAGCCTCACTAGACCAAAGGATTATTTCATAGGCCCTGTACAGCAGAAAAAAAGGCCAGCATGCTCATACCAAGGGTGGTCCAAAAGTTCTGATGTGAACCAATGTAAATTCAACAGGCCAGACGTTGTTGAGGCGCAAATTAGGTCATTTGCACTAAGTTTTCTCCCTCAGACACTTGAGAACGTTACAGTAGAACGTTCACAGTGTGTAATGTTGAACAAAACTAGAGACCTGACCTGAGGCACCTTGTCTGGTTTTGGAAACCGCTGCTCTTCTCCTGTGAAACCTGCTGTTTCTTCTCTTGGTGGTAGCCACCGAATTGATATCATGTACGGTTTGATTGACCTGTGTGAAATCCTAGAACTGTAGGTCTAATCCTATGGAAGTTCTGGACTTTCTATTAAACAAACTAGACAAACACAGAAAAATGTAAACATTATTGTCTCGTGCAATATGGTAAGCAGCTTTAAACTAGCTTCAGTTTTAGCTTTGAGTTCAACAACAACGTCAGGCTGGGAGTTGCTTCATATTCAAAGCGACACTCTGCTTTCAGGTCAAATACGCTAACCTGGACAAATTCAGGGCCATCGCTTCTGAACCCAAAGACAAAAATGCCTTCAAAATTGAGGACTACAACGGACTAACGGGGGTACTGGAAACATTTCAGAACAGCATCTTCAACATCGAAGGTGAACTTCAACGTTGTTTTGCCATTTCGCTGATGCATTCATTTGATCTCTGTGGGGCGCCCCTGCATGATGCACGACTAACCCCCACAGCTTCTCACATGCAGGCACCAAAGTGGCTCGGGCAGAAGACATGACTAACGAGATGTCTCAGAGCGGTTTCAGTGTCGCCTTCTACGAGGTGAGTAACGTCAAAATCCACACGTTTTGCATGGTGCTTTCCTGAACATGCACACATACGAGTGCAGGTTGTTCAAGAGTGAATTATGAATAAGTCAGGATAAGAGATGCATCACACACTTTACATTCTGAGTAAAGAACTCACCTCAACATCTTTTCATTTTTTTTAATTTCACCTTTATGTTACCAGGTTAAAAAATATTTGAGAACCAATTCTCATTTACAAACATGACCTGGCCAAGAGACGCCAGCAGGAACAAATACACAAGTAAATTACAGACACCAGTAGACACATAAAGACAACATAGAACAAAATTAAACAAGTGAGAAGCATGGGAGCATATGCATGTGAGTGAAAAAAGATGTGTAAGAAAGTGTGTGTGTATATGTAAGCATGTAAGTAAAATCTGGAGTGATCAGCAGGAGCAACAGTCAACTCAGAGTCAGAGTTGCTAGTTTGAGGGTGTTTTTAAGGTGTTCCAGTCATTAGCTGCTGCAAAGTGAAAGGAGTTACGGCCAAAAATAGTAGAGATGTTGGCGATGATGGGCTTGATGTATTCACTAGACCTAGTACGATAAGAATTATGGGCGACTTGAAGAAGAGAGGACAGGTAGGGAGGTGTCTTGACCAGAATTGAAACCAGTGGTGAAGCCGCCGACGATGAAGGGAAGGCCACCTTACCAATGACTAGAGGTCACAGTGGTGAGTGTAGAAGGGTGCAGCAGTGGCAAAGCTTTAAAACCTTTGCACTTTGACTAACTACTCAAATGAAACGCCCAAAACGGAAACACTGAAAATGTGTTATGACTGTAGTGCTTCCTATTTTAATATGTTTAATTTCCTTTGCAAAAAGAACATCTGATTGTAGATCTGTAGCACAGCAAAAGTCACAAACTCAGACCTGTATGTTGCTACCAAAATACATCTAAGTATACAGCGGGAACCCAAGTCTGAGTCCACACTGAAAATCTGTGATATTTTCATGTGAACCTTAAAAAATCTGAAAGTTTAGGGTTTTAGAAATGTTTAAAAATGCAAGAAGTGGAAATGGAAGCATTTCAGAATCTGTTCTGTTTTTTAATCAAACTGAAGCAGACTAGTGGCCGTGTCCATCCTTTGTCCAAAGGTCAGATTTCTTTGTGTCGTGTCCAGATGACACTCAGCTGGGTTTCCTCAGTCTTTCCTCAGACATTATTTATCTCTTAGAAATATGATTGCGCCTCCAGCTTCCAGCAGAAAGGGCAAAATAAATCAATTTGAGATATAAAAGGTCGTTGATCGCAGCTGGTCGCCCGTCCTGAGCCTGGTTCTTCCAGGTGAAAGAGTGTTTTTTAATTTCTTCTCACTGTTACCCAGTGCTTGCTCACAGGAAGTTTGAAGTTCTTCCTCTGTGACATCTTATTGTATTTCCACTCTGTGAGGTGCCCTGAGAGGACTCACGAGGTAAATCCGCATCGACATGAATCTTTGAGAAGCAGGTGTGCACCGGACAGCCAGAAAATAGCAAGCAAGCCGGATGACTCGTGGATGAGCTCAGATCAAAAAATCCCTTCAGGAGTTCACAGAAAGTCAAAAATGACTTGGAGGATGTAGGTGTGCGTGTTTCCTTGACAACAGCTTGGTGCAAACAAGATGTAAAGCCCTGATAAGAAAACTGGTTGCTGACTGTTGACATGCTGCTGCGGGGCGACCACAGCATCGATGATGCAACAAAAGGTCGATGGATACAGACGCACAGAAATAACTGAGCGCTCAGATTCAGCCAAAGCATCCCTGGACAACATTTTATCATTCACCAGGACAACTGTCAGTATCTAAATAACAATAAGAACTGCTTCAACTTATCTCTTATTTTTTGATCATCACTTTTAGCTAGCCGTGGAACTAGCGCCTCATTTCCACATCCTGGTTTACGTATTTTGCTGGATAGTTCCTTTTGGTTGTTGTTTCTGCCTGCGTCCACGACTTAACCGCAACTCCATTCATTCCTATGAGAGAATCCGTGATCGCTGATGTGTTTGTGAAACGTCAGGGTTTCTTTTTCTTCTGGAGTTTGCCTCAAGTAAATCGAAACGTTTTTTTTTTTTAATGGATTACGGTGTTACCGGACTGTGGGCACCAGGAAGTTGGAAAAGTGATTTAGCTAAGAGGGTAACAGGCTGTTTTGTTGTTTAAATGTATAACAACTAAACAAATTAGTCTAGCTCGTTTAAGACGTGCAACATGCAGAGAACCCACCCACTGTAGTGCTTTATACGTCCTATAACAAAATATTTTACTAAACTAGCTTAACAACTCACTCATTTCTCTCAGGCACATATTCCATATAAGTGGACATCAAAAACCGACAGCCTCAGACGCTGCGGTGAAGTTTCCATCCATCTGTAATTAAATTCATGACCTTGCGCTGAACACCAGGGCACGCAGTCTGTATATTATCAGGATTTACAGACATCAAGGCAAATTTGTGTGGAAACAAGGAGTTCGGCTCGACTCCTCGCGCTTGTAAATAGTTTAAATGAATATAAAAATTGTACTTTTTGGACTTCGCGGCTGCCTGGACCTGGGGAAGATGGGCAGCATTCATAATAGGCAGCCCTAGAAAGGGTGTGACACTCCTCAATGACGTGAAAAGAGACTACAAGATATAAAATACACCAACTACACCTAAAGCATTCTACTGGGCAGAGCCTTAACACAACACTCTCAAACACACAAACAAAGCAATCAGACTGTTTCAGGATGACATGCAAAGACTTGGATTAAAAGCCAAGAGACCAAAGCGACGACTGCGATGATTAATAATTAGACGTCACCATGAGAATCCACGCTCAACTGATCTCTGATTCTGAGCGATTTCCTGTCAAGCAGTTTGACCTGTCACCTTTCAACATGACTACTCTTGGTGTCTCAGTTCCTCTCTGTGTTCTGACGAGACTTTTCTGTGAACAGGATACCTTAATTCTGGGTTCTGTGGGATCCAACAGCTGGCGTGGTTCTCTCCAACAAATGCAAGAAAACAAGGATGAACAGATTAAAGATCCGGAGATGACGCAGGACTCCTACTTGGGTAAACTGTTTTTTCATCTCTTTGCAAATTGTCTGTTCCTCTAACTTGAATGTCATTGTTTTTTTAACTTAAGATAAGAAAAATTGCACTCTTATGCAACTTAACCACATTCTCAATTAGATTTTGAGAATATTTTCTCCCTGGTTACGTCATTTATTTGCAGCCGATGGAATATTAGTTGTGACGCGACTCAACACTCATGGACATATTGTGAAAGGGTTGTTATTTACTCCTAAACCTAACCAAACGGTGTGTAATCTGAAAACAAAGTTAATAATACTGGTTCAACGTCGACATGAATCCGAATCTCCTGCGTGAAAGTCCTGCGTTGGACGAATGCCACCACTGCTCCTCAGCAACTAAAATAAATCTCTGAGGGACAAAAAAGGCATTTGTTTACACAGTTAACCCCAAAAAACGGGCCAAAACTGTAATGATTTCAAAAATCAAATGAATGGACTGAAAAATGGTGAATTGTTTTAAACAGTTATTTCAAAGATTTTTCCTGTTTTGGTAAAACACAGATAATATCGAGTGAAATCACTGAAAAAAAAGCATCAGTTTACACGGTAACTATATAAGAAAGGTCAAAACTCATCGTTTGTTTGCAACGTTGCACCATGAAGTTGCACGACTTTTACAGCATTTTCCGCACATAAATACGCTAAAAAAAAAAAACACCCTTATTTTATGGATATTTATCATTATCATCACAGTTTTACACTTTTCAAAAGTCATCGAATTCCACTGTTTTTTAATGCCAGCAGTGTTTGTTTGTGTGTTTTACAATGTAGTAAGACAACAATAGTGTCATGTTTCTTAACAGTGAACACAGGTCCATGTCTGTGGTATTACTTATCTGAGAAAAATGAACATTTAGCAAATATGTGACTGTCTGTTGCAGGCTACTCCATTTCCGTTGGAAGGAGGAACGGTGTTCCTCTATATTTCTCGGGTGCACCAAGGTTTGAGCACACAGGTCGGGTCGTACTTTTCATAAACCGAGGTGAGAACTGGACCACAGCCCAAAGAATAGACGGCGACCAGGTTGGTAACTCTCCTGACAAAGATTGTTTTCGTTTTTTATTTATCATGCAGATTCTAGACAGCACTAAGCGTGCCATGTTGATCGTGTTTAAACCTCAGTCTGCTGTTGGAACTGAACAAAAGCTTCTTTTGTTTTTACTATGCCACCATTAGAGCCAACGTCAACAATTTTGCTTCAAGTTTTACTTTGAAAGCTTACTTACATCCCTGATTATAGTTTAGCTTGGAAGGGATACAGATTTTCTCAGTAAAATCTGCTATCTTACATGCATTTTGCATTCAAAGATACGTGCACCGTTATGAACATGTGCAAAGGTAGACTTTTGTGGTTTCAGGGAGGAAGCCAGAGAACTTCCTTGCACTGGCACAAAATTTGCCTCAAAAGAAACTATGCCAGAGTTGTGTGAAGCACAATATATGTCTGTCCTAACTCTCCTTGCATACATTATGGATATATACATTTATTAACTTGAAAGACATAACTTTTCAGATTGGTTCCTACTTCGGTGCAGAGCTGTGCTCAGCGGATGTTGACTCAGATGGTAACACTGATTTTTTGCTGGTGGGAGCTCCGCTGTTTTTCGAGCCACTCGAGAAGAAAGAAGGCCGCATCTACATCTACACACTGACTGACAAGGTGGACTTCAAATGCGATTATATTCAGACACTGAGATTATTAACGCTTTTATTTTCTAAATGCATAAAATCGCGTCCCTATTTCCTTTAGATGGAACTGGAAAGTAAAATGACCGTGATGGCTCCATCCATGGGCAGATTTGGCACCAGCATATCAATTCTTGCAGATCTCAATGGAGATGGGCTCAGAGATGTTGCTGTTGGAGCCCCCCTTGACGATGATAACAGAGGGGTTGTGTACTTGTACCTCGGAGACAGACACAACGGGATACGCAAAGACTGCAGCCAGGTGAGAGACTGCTGGCACTGAGTCATCACTGTAGCGGAGACCATGAATGTCGGGTCCATTCGAGTCAACCTTTTTTTTTTTTTAGCAAGTTTGGTATTTACCTTGAAAAAGTGATTGTATAAGTATTTACCCCATTTAAGTGACTCACCTATCTCAACACAGGCACAGCCAATTGGTAGTGGAAATCACACAATTACAAGGGATTGTAGTATAAAGACACCTGTATCAGGAAGGTCCAGCCACTGGTGAATCAGTACTCCTGGATGGGACTACACCATGAAGGCAAAAGAACACTACAGTTAAACTAATCATTAAAAAGTGGATGCATGTGGTACATGAATAAATCTGCATACCAAAACTCAAAAACTGAGTGACCAGACAAGAAAGAAACTAGAGAGGGAGGCCACCAAGACACCTATGAGCCCTCTTAAGGAGTTACAAGCTTCAGGAGCTGAGCAGCATCGTGATGTGGGCATCCCTGTCAGTAGCAGGCCCTGGAAGGCTCGTAGAGGTAGAGGGTAAAATGAAGCAATGAAATGAAATGAAGCAGCAAAGTGTAGAGAAATCCCAGAGGACAACCCGATCATTCTGCAAAGAACTGCGACTTGGAGAGAAGGTTTGTTTTCCAGCAAGACAATGACCCAAAGTGTACAACCAAAGCTACGCAAAAATGGTTTAAAGACAACAAGGTGAATGTTCTGGAGGCTAAGTCAGAGCCCAGATCGCAATTCAATTGAGAAATTGTGGCAGCACTTGAAAAGTGACGCTCCCTGTGCAAACCTGACAGAGTTTGAGCAATAATGGGCTAAAATTGCAGCGTCCAGACGTTCAGGCTGATTGAGACCTATCCACACAGGCTCAGTGTTGTACCTGCGGCCAACGGGGAATCTATTAAATACTTACTTGAAGGGGGTGAATACTTAGGCAAGGCACTTTTGATATTTTAATTAATTGACATGAATTTATAGAAATCTTTTTTTTCTTCGACACGAAAGAGTATTTCTTTTTTTGTCAATTCTTATCAAAAAAGCCAAGTTATATTGACCATTCGTATCCTGTTTGCCACCTTTCTATCTTCAAATATGTGTGCAAATCAGACACTGTTTCAGTTGCCAAATTATTTTGTTGTCCCAGAGAATCGAGGGAGCAAGAATAGATTCTGGGATGAGATTCTTTGGACTGGCCATCGATGGGGACATCGACCTTGGAGAAGACAAACTCCCAGATATTGTGATTGGGTCACAGGGCACTGCTGTTATCTTAAGGTATGGAAACTGGGTACATTATGTCTGAGGTTGAGAAGTGTATGCACAGTTTCTAACCCTATGGTGTTTCAAAAGTCAGACTATATATCAGAGCTCAGTTGTAACAACAAAATAGAGGAACGCATTGGCGGACAAATTACTAAAACCAATGAGAGATGAGACTAGATGTCATAAATAAATGAAGCCAGAAGGTGAAATCCTGATTGGTGCCTTGCTCACCGTTCCTTCAAGCACTCGTCTAACAATCCATGTTCCACCACTGTCTTCCAGCTCCAGGCCTGTCTTTAATGTCTCGGCTCGTCTGTCTTTTCAACCTAACGAGATAAGCACTGACAAATTTGACTGCCTCGGCTCAGATGGAAGTTTACCTTTGGTTACATTAACGGCCTGCTTTCAAATGGTAGAAGCAACAAACAGCAAAGCAGGTATGGACTTGTGCCACAAATGTTATGTTCAGTAACAGTGCCATATCTTAACCATGCTGTTTGCCTTTGTGATGCAGCAAGCTCCAAACTGAACATCTCGTACATAATCGCTGTGGATCCCAGGAGACTAATATCTCGAGGTTTCTTAAATGAAACTGAAAAGAAAGCCAGGAATCGTATGAGTACCTTTGAGCTTGAGAATAAGGAACTTTGCTTCAACCACACCGTCTACATGCCAGTAAGAAGAATATCCATACACGTACTGTAAAGGAGAAGATATCTCCTATCTGTATATTTTTAATTATTCATACATTCAGACCTCTACGAGTTATTTTGTACATTTTTAACCTATGCAGCAAACTTTGCATTGAGTAACTTTAGCCAGTTAAAGAAACAGTCTGGTGCTACGGCCTTAAAATGTCTGCTTTAGCCATCTAATAGGTCTGCATTCTACTTATTGTTTTGAATTGAAGTTCACTTGACTTTTGACTTCAAGTTATTTACTGACATGTATTCCTTTAGTTACCTATACAGCAACAATTTCTGTCACGTTATCGCAGTTTCTTGTCTGCGCTGAAGAAATGATCAGTGGTAAATGTCTTTGCTGATGTAAATAAGTCTTCTTTCTTTTTGTTTTGCAGAAATGTGTGAAAGACACACTATCGCCCCTCAGCATCAAACTAGAATTTTCCCAGCCGGATGGGGAGAGCGCGGGTGCCGTCTTGAATGTGGACAGCAAGAATCAGTCGGATGTCGAGGTATGTAACGTGACCACAGACAAGGGTTTGTGGGATTGTAGGAGAGTGTATCCTGGAAGTTTTCTTTGAATGTTAAATGTGGCATGGCCATCAGCCATCCAGTGGTGGGGAGCGGTGCAACCTTTTGCATCCACAAACTCCTCTGTGAACCATAACACTTCAAAACTGTTCACAATAAAGGCATCATGAGAAACGAACTGAAACGATCAAATGGATGGTAAATGGATGAAGATGGAGAGTTAAGCTACAAATGCATGCAGCACTACCTGACCAAGTTTTAGGTGCGAACATACACTTGCCATGTTGGAACACAGGATAGAACAGGAAACAGTAGTTGTTCCGTCACATTCTGTTTAGATTTAATGCAGTCACCCCACAAATTTACCGTTTAATCTCCCTCAAAGGTCGTTGAAATTCAATGGCAGTTCTAAAGAGAATGAATCCCAGATTTTGACGTTGTGATGGTTGGAGATATGTGCATCAAACAGGAAAAGTCTGCAGTAGTTTTTACTTTGCCTGTAATTATACGGGGGTTGGACTCCACTTAGGTTGCCCCTGTTTGGTTCAGTCCTGTTTGGGTTGGATTCATTAGACCTTCAGTGCAAACTGGGGCAGTTTGTAGCCCAGTGTGAAGCAGCTGAGTCAACTCTTATGAGTTGGTTCTCTGCCAGAAACTGGTAGAATGCTCCTCAGGGTTGGGGGTAAGTTGCTTCTCAAGGTGAAGGACTTTAAGTTTCTCAGGATGTTGTTCATAAGTGATGAGAAAAAAAGTGTGAGAAGGACAAACCGAATGGTGCGACATCAGCAGTAATGTGGGCGTTGTTGTGCCAATGAGCGAGCTTAGCCAGAAGATGAAGATCTTCATTTAATGATCTATATTCCAACCTTCAATCTGTGGTTATGGGCTCTGGGTACTGACTGAAAGAGTGACAGAACAGATATAAGCAACAATGTTGAGTTTCCACTGTAGGGTGGCTCGAGAGCCTTATAGTTAGGGTGAGGAGCTCGAGCAACCAGGAGATCGGCGTAGGGTAGCTGCTAGGATGGCCCATGAGCGTCTTCCCTTGGAGGTTTTTTAGGTATGCACAACTGGGAGGAGACCTCAGGGTAAACCCAGAACTAATTGGAGGGATTATATATCTCATCTGGCCAGGGAATGCCTCAAGATCAACCAGGAGGCGATGGAAGAGGGATGCCTCGAGTTTCCTGCTTAGTCAGCTGCCACTGTGGCCCAACCCCGGAAAAATGTAATAAATGTGTGGATTTATGGGAAGAAAGATGCACACATTGGGAACAGACACGAATGGAAACTGACATCAGCTTGTCAGTTGATTCATATTATCAGTCAGTCGTATCTATTTTGTCCTTTATGTGCCAAAGGACTCCTGTGCTGCTCAAACCATCTTTCTAAATTTGCTCTAGAAATAAAGTGAATATAAATGCTTTTTTTTTGTTGTTGTTGTTGTTGTTTTGTTACAGATTCCCTTTGAAAAGCACTGTAGAAAAAATGACATCTGTATTGCCGAACTCGAGGTGGATTTCAACTTCACGTACGTACATTTGACAAACACAGCACAACTATTGTGAGATAAGCACCACATGACCAAGTGTAAGAACGGCTCTGTTTCTTTTAGGAGTCCGACGTTGGTGGTGGCAGAAGACAGTTACTTCCACCTGTTTTTGAAACTGTCCAATAATGGTGATGACTCGTACGAGACCGGCTTTATAATTACCTACCCCCCAGGCCTCTCCTACTCCATGACAGCTCTTGTAGAGGTGATGTTACCCTGGAACTCATACATCATGTCCCACCACTGATTTACACCCAGTGACTACTTTTATCATAAACGATGCTTTTTTGAACAGCATGGCATGAATTTGCACATCAAAATCAGTTCACAGATCTAAAGGACTTTCCCTACACGTGTAAAAGTGCGCTGCAGAAAATCTGATAACTACAAAGCTAAATGAACTCTTTTAATGATAATATTCAATCAGCCTATTCAGAGCTAACCAATGCAAAGAGCAACATGCTATTTTTCTTGTGTGTTTGTCAGAGAATGTTCAAGGGTTTTGTTTTTTTTTCTCGCAAAGTTACCCTCCGACTGCAAGTCAAATTTTCTAACCTACAATGGCCCTTGTGTGGCAAAAAGACCGGATGTGAAGACAAACATAACGGTTCCTGTAATTTTAGCAACACACTATAGATTCAGTTTAATTTATCCAGTTAATTTCAAGGCACCTAATATAATGCAATTACTCGTATAGCAATGATGACAGTAATAATGCATGTCTTTCATAAACATACATGGTTGCACAAATCTAACTACAATCACTGCACATAAATACATAAAACTAATGTTTTTTTTGACAATTAGCCAAAGTGTATTTATACTTTAATACCTAATTATGAGTTTGGTTATAAATCACCCTCAGAAAAAAATGGCATTTATTAAACAAACAGATGTGCATAAGTGCCACATTCAGTTGCTCGTTTACTCCATTCTTTTCTGTGCCACCACAGAAGAAGAGGAAACAGATCAGACTTTTTGTAGGACATGAAACCCACACAGGATGTGCAACTGCTCTCAACACCAACCCTACTTAGTTTTAAAAAAAAAAGAAAAAACAAAAAACCCCAGTGGCCAACAATTTCATTTCAACTACTGCGCTGTTATTACTGAGGGTTTCAGTTAATGTTTTTTTTTTTTTTCTGAAAACAGGCAACGAGACCGACTCTGTACGACTGCAACGGTGTGGAAGGAGTGCTCGATAAAGCTAAATGTGGTGTCAGCCTTCCTGTGTATCGCAGCAGATCCTTTGTGAGTCACACCACACCCAGACACGCTCCAAACAGACAGAAGTGAAGTTTCACAAATGAAGAACTGTGACCAGCTCGCCAAGCCTCCGACATGATCGACCAACTTTTCCCACAAACAAATTTCCTGTTTTTCTTTGTGTCACATCTCACATCGCTGTCTTCTTTTTTCTCTTTTCTTGCAAAGGCAACATTTAACGTCTCTTTCCGCATCATGGATGACTATGACTGGAATGACACGATCTATGTGACCGTTGATGCAACAAGGTACAGGCCTTCTTACTTCTACTCGCTGTGGCCTCATTTTTTACCTGCACCTCTGTGGAAACAGCACAACCACAGCTGGAAGCAGAGAAAGCTCAGAAATGTCTTCTGTGCGGCACGACAGTTATATCGCCACAAATCATAAAGATGAAAAAAAAAGTTGAATTACTTTGATTATTTTTTTTAAATAGAACCAACATATACAACATTTTTTGAGTTGGTATTACTGATATTTGAGAGAAAAAAAAAGGGCACCCCGCTCTATAGATCAGCTAGTTTACTTTTTTACAAACAAAAGGGAAAGGAAACAAGACATAGTTCACAGCACTCCTAGTTCCTCCTTTAAATTCTGTGTGCTGTTTTTGAGCCATAAAATATATGTTTTAGTTCCCTCTCAGTCTCTTTTGCTGTCTGCTCGGTGTAAATACTGCCCACAGTTCACCTGAAAACTCAGAATTGTTGTCATGTGGCTGTTTGTGACAGACTTTCATGGTTTATAGGTTGCACTTAGGAGTGAACAATTTTTTAGTTTTTTTACAAACTCTGATTCGTGCAAAATGTTAATTCATGGTGAATTTTTGAATGAGACACGTAGAAGAAAGCGACTTAAATGAAATATCACAATTTTAAGCCTAGACTTGGCTATTTTTTCATGACGAAGCTGCAGATCATACATTTTCTTTAAGGACCTTTTCGAAAATCCAACAATTCTTCAGCTTTTTTAGTTTCTGGCTCTGACGAATTGTGTAATTTTTGGCTGGTTTATCAGGCATGTTTTCTTTTCTTTCTTTCTTTTTAAATTATACCAAATATCAGAGGCAAAAAGTGAAAACAGAGAGAATTGTCAGTTTTTTAACTTTCAGACAATCCTCAAACTTATCATCAAACTTGTGCGGTTCTGTCAGGAAATTTAAGCAAATCTAAGCCAATATTCGTGATACTTCACTCAAATCTCTTTACTCTACATGTCTCTCTCTCTCTTTTTTAAAATGCCAGCAAATAAGCATTTGCACGAACCAGAGTCTGTAATAAAACTAATTATTCTGCACTGCTCAGTACAACCGTGAAGCCATTAGTGATTCAGCTGAACCAACGCTCATATGAGAAAACTTCAGGGACTGTTAGACGAAGCTGCAGGTTGTGTTTACACAGACCAGAAAGGAGAAAGGTGTCGGAAAATGTTCAAATATAAATAGTAAAATATCTACAGTAAGTAAAGTCATCATTTTTTTTCCCAGTACTGGACACATGAAAATATTGTAGATGTTGATTCCAGTTTGTATTATTATTATTATTACTGGGAAATAATAATAATAATTTCACTTTCTTGCATGATTTGTAGCATTTTTAACGTGTCACACTGCACAGAAGATATTTCTGAGTTCTCTCTCCTCGACATGGTTGCTCTGTTTCCATAGAGATGTAAGATTTTATATTGCAGTAAAAAAAAATTAACCTCCAGCGAGGAAAAAACAAGAAATAACGCCCAGAAACTGTTCAGACGGTTAACAATCTAGCGATGTTTGATATTGACAAAACATGTCTTTTTCATCCATCAGTGATAATTCAAACTCCACCAGTCCCGCTTCCAAGACCAAACCTGTCCAGGTGCAATATGAAATCAAAACGGCACTAACAGTGTAAGCAGCACATTTCACATAAACAATATTTTATATCACGTATATGATGCATGACTTATTTAATCCAGCCAGCAGCTGTCTAATCATCTTGTATCCTTTCCAGGAGCGAAGACACCATCACCTATCTGAACTTCACAGCAGAGGATGCTGAGCCTAAAAAAATCCTTACGATATACAGGGTGAGGCGCTTCATTGTTCTGCAGCGATCCAACACAATTGAATTTGTTTCCATACTTTGATTTTTACAGCCTGTACAAACTTCTCCCCATCGCACATCAACTCCACAAGATGCTTCACCATGCCCAATGCATCTTCCAACAACTTGCTCCTCTGCTTTTTGAGCCAAGATGCATTCATTTATTACATTTTCAATTTGTTTCCATAATTGTTTCCTCTGTGCTCTGCATCAACACTGCCTGCAGTTAAACCCCAGAATCGTAGTCATATGACCGTCGGTAACAGCTGAGTCACTGTCGGCTTCATAGTCGCACCAGTGAATGCAGATTTGTTTGTTTTTTTACAGAATTGTAGTGAAAAAAATATTTTTGGCATTTTTAAAAAAGGAAAAGATAAACAGGTATAATAAAGTGATTTTGATTATTTTTCCACATGTCTGTTTTTACATTTTCTGTCTCATTAAATGGTGCAATTTCAGTGATTCTTAAAAAAAAAAAAACTAACAAGTCTTTCAAACCCAACAAACTAAGGAAATTGAGACATCATGTGCTACTCGGTGAGATTTCGAGGTGCTTACAGGAAGCTTTTGTTACCTTTAGACAGAGCCAAGCCAGCTGTTTGCGCTAGATTTAAATATATGCTATGCTAAGCTAACCTGCTGTCGCGTCATTTTAGTCAACGCTAAATTTCCCAAAGCTGCGTTTCTAAAATGAATCTACTTCCTGTCCCCGTTCACAGATCGATAACATCGGTTTCAATGATTTTCCTCTCACCGTGTCGCTGTTCTTCCCAACTGAACTGGAACACAACTTTACAATGAACAACTACCAAGTCTTTGTGGGGAAGGTAATTTTGGCCGGAGCTGTTTTTTTCTTTCGAGTTCTTACTTTGCTGTGGATTAAATCTTCAATGCTTACCTGACTTTTTCTTTTTCAGAACAAAACTCAGTGCGCGCCCTCTGCTGACCCAAAATCTGAGGTACGTACAACACCGTCAAAGTATTCCGTCAGAACATGTCGCGAAATCATGAATTACTTATTAAAATGAATAATGTCGCTGTGTCGCAGCACTGCCCGCCTGAGAATGCCTGCAAAGCTGTCGTGTGCGATACTTTCATTCTGGAGAAAAACTCACGTGCCGAGTTTCAATTGTTAGGAGACGTACAGTTTAGAAACCTCAAACAGCAAGCAGAGGTATGTAGCCACGAAACACGCATACAGAATACACACCACATAGAGCACTTAAAGTGACAAACATATGTTAATAATTGACATGCTCTTCCTTTACAGAACCTCTCTTTTCTGAAAAAATACACCGGCGAGAGTGGAGAGGTTAAATTTACAAGCTTTATACGTGTTGACTACAACAAGACACGATATGTGCTGGATTCTAAGAAACAAGACGTAAGTTTAAGTTTGATCTATAGACTGTGTAAAGGAGACGGATGAAGCCTCTGGGTCGGCAAAGTGGTGCCATTGGATTGTATTTAACAGCCAGCAGGGGGCGACTCCTCTGGCTGCAAACAAGAAGTGAAATCGTCGACGAGAAAATGATCCGACTTCTCACTTGATTTATTACCTCAGTAAACATTGTCCTCATACGTTTATGGTCACAGTTGTTAGTTTTAAGTCTTCTTCAAAACAGAAAGATGATCATTTTGAAAATTATGATCCCTTTCAGAGGCTAATAGACGACAAAGCATGGTATGTTTTAGGGCTACCTTGATGAGTTGCGACCATTTATGATGTGCGACCAAGACGTTCCCAGAGTATACCCATCATAATTAAAAACTGCTGTCATCCCCATTGAAGCAGTCTCCCCGTGAAGCAACGCACCGCTCGCAGTGTTCCCGCAACACTTGTAACATGTCAAGCAGCCACAGTTCGGGTTAATGGAATCACTGAATATCCTCTTAGAACGTTACAGTAGAACTCGGACCGTGGAGAATGAGTTCACGGTGCACAACCATGTCAACACCAACCAGCCTTTAACTCTTGCAACACAGACTCGTATTAGGACTCCCAAAGTCAACTTTGTAGTCATAAGCTTCAGAGATTACGAAAAAGAAGTTGTTCAGCTGACTATAAGTTACCAGAAACACCACAGAGATTTCCCTAAAGCTGCAATCAAACTAGCGAAGTCACCAACTGCATTGTGGGCTGCCACGTACTCTGCAAAAAAACAATATTTTACATAAATTAAGACGTACCACAACACCTAGAACAGTTAGAACCACTAAAAACAAACCTACGTAAGCATTTCAGCGGAGCTTCTCACTAATCAGCCCAGTGTTGGGGCAGGATACAGCAGACTGGTAACTTAATATGTGATGTTAAAATCTCCAGGTGCCCAGCAGAGGCCACTGATGTGACACCAAGTGGGAAACTGACAGTAACGCATTATGAACAATGCATAGCATCTTTAACTCAGCTACACGTGCTCATGGTGCTCCTGAACTGACACGTCTTGTCCGGTTTGAGAACCTGCAGTTCTTCCACTGTGAAAACTGCTGTTTCTTCTCTTGATGGCAGCTGCAGATCCACCTTTAGTCACCAGTGATGATCCTCTACATTAAGGTTGGATCATCCAGTTTCTCAGAATGTGACGTTTTCTTCTCTGCTTCAGTTTGAGCTCCACAGCAAAATCGCAAATCTGTGCCTGCCAGCGGTCGCAAAAACACACATACATATTAGACACGATTTAAAAAATGTATCTAATTAATTAGAGGCGTTGTAATTAATTACATTTTTATCAAATAACAATATTGGACACGATAAAAGTTTTTCAATTCCAATAAATTTTGGTTGACGACTGAATCAGTGAACAGACAAACACGTGAACTTAAACAACAAAATGTTTATTTTTCATTTATATTTATCTGCGTTTTTCATCTGTCTACTACTTTCACAGATTAGTGAAAACCCAAAGTGCCATTACAGCTGTTCTAGTCAACATTTTTGGGCTTTTTGTCTTACTGCTGCACAGTCTGCACACAGCCACGCTCTTATCCGAGCTGCCATCAGGACGTTTTTTAAAACAACTTTCCGCCCAACAAGCCAAGTTCTCGTCCTCCATCACTGTTCACCAAACTTTCTCGTGTGCGGATGTCACTCAACGCATCCTGTGCATCTTCGGCCGGTGCATTAGCGCCACCTACCGGCTGGGGTGGATGCATCAGTGTTACCGGTGGTGCCAGAAATTAGAGAACTGAGAAAGGTGCGATTAACGTGTTAATTTCGACTCATTAATTACAGAAAAAATAATGCAAAAATAAAGTCCCAGCCCCAGCATATATGTGCAATGTCTTCTGAATCGTGCCACGAAGACTCCCACAGCTTTGTGATCTCAACTTATCGACAAGCACAGTCAGTCACAAACTCAAGGTAGTTCACAAACCAATGGTTCACAGTGGCTACGTCTGTCTTTTATATACAGTCTATGCTCTGACTACAGTAAAACCATTTGAAAGATATTGCTTTTAATGCTTTCTCTGTGCGACTAATTTCTCGTATTTATCACTACCAGAGTAAGGACAAGCCTCACAAAACCGGCTTGAACGATCCAACGATGACAATGGTACGTTCAGTCTGCACACAAACAGTCAAAATTAATCAACAGACTTATTCAAAGGTACCACTTTGACAACTTGTTTTCTCTCTTTGCCATCAGAGTAAAGTTCGGGTTGAGTTCACAATCCACCCCAATCAAATGTGGATCATTTCGACTGGAGTCGTGCTGGGATTATTGCTTCTGATCATCATCACAGTCATCATGTTTAAGGTACGAGTCAAAAGACCGTCCTAATATTCAGAGTTGTTGCTCGAATGTCATGAATTGAATTCTGGACTTGAAAAAGATGGTTTTGGGCGTTCGGTCTAATGATTCTTCTTGTGTCTCTTACAAGTTGGGTTGCTTTAAGAGGAAGACGCAGGAGTACTATCAAGAACTGGATCAAGAAGCTGCCTCAACGGCTGGCGTCGCCACCAACGGGTCGACCAGCAAACCAGAGTCTGACGACAAATTGCCCCAATCTCCCGAAGAAAAAAAACTGCTTGAAGCCGGTGAAGAGGAGGAAGACGCTGCTACCAAGTCTCCTGCTGCCCCCACCGACGAGATGACCAAGAAACCAGAGCCTCATGACGAATCGATAGAATGCCTATAAGAAATTAGCGTGATCTCAGGAGACCTTGTGCATCGATCCATAACAGCTGAGTGTCACTCACACACAACAGCCTGAGATGTTTGCAGGGATTCAGACGAACTTTGTTTGATGCGCCAAACTTTTTCATTCAAATTTTTCTCTGTGTCGTCTGGCGCTGCGATACCAAGCGAAGGCCTCTGGAGGTGGTTGGTTATGAAGAAGATGCCGCGACACGCCGATTTCTTGGCAATGCAGCAACCAGTGATGGAGAAAAAGCACAAAAGTAGCTGCAGGTTCCAGATCCTCTCCTACAGACGAAGGAAGGCTAAGAATATGGATTACCTTCTTGAAATGAAGCGATTCTGCTGATTAATGCTGAGATTACCAACATGTAATAATACCTACAACGTGCATCAAGGACATTAACCCTCTGAACTCTGCAAACCCTCCAACGGGTTCAAAAAGGCGTTTTATTTTTTAAAAATCTGCTGAATTGCACCATTTATCAGAGCCAGACAGTGTAAAAACAGATGGAATCATCAGATTTCTTTTGTTTTTTTTTACTTTCCAACGCTCCTTAAACTAATCATGTGAGACTTGTGGTTTCAAGGATTAAAACATCCAAAGAAAATTGGGATATTTAAGCCAAATTATTTTAGCCTACCTGTATTATTTTAGAAAAATGGCTCCCGAATAAACAGTTTGCAGGTGAGACATATTGTAAAAAATCAAAAATTCAAAGTTTCTTAATGCGTCTTGGAGCCATTAGAGACTCAGCTGTGACCAACAGTCGTGCAGCAAAAAATATCTTCGGCTGAACTGCAGGCAGTGTGGAAACAAATTAGACATGCAAGTAGTAAAATATTCATTGCATGTAGAGGCCGCCATTTTTCCAATTCTGGTAACACCAGTAAGTCAGATTATGATGCTACAAAACGAACCAGGTAAACTCGAACAAGTCAAAAGGTGAATGCATGTTGTTTACACTGTAACAGATTGTAACATAACCAATCGTTTGTAGGTTTGCACAGGCGCTGCTGGTTTCTGCTCAGGTATTTATTGAGTGAACGGAAGTTTGACTTGTATCATATCTGCTTGTTAAATGTACAACTTTTATTTCTAATTGTCTCAGCGAATGCAGCCGTGTACATTTAAATGAATCGTTTATCAGCAGCGGTTGGGTTTCTAATTTATCGCCAGCAGACAAAACTAAAAAAGGTCTTAAAGGTCGGATTGACGGAGAACCTTACAGCGTACCGTTCCCCCGTAAGTCAAGCAACAAGAGCTTTTCTAAGGACTTGAATCTGGGATTACTTTGTAGAAATTCACAATCAGCTAGTGTCAAAAATATTCTGAGAGTTGTAGATAGTAAAAGTGTAAGACAGCATTTCATACCAGGAAGAAACTGAGCTGAGGAAAGTTGTTTATTGTTCTGATTCTGTACTGTGTATTTTTCTTTTCTATAATGAATTATTTTACTCTTAGGTGTGATTAGTTTTGTTATGAATGCTTGACTTTAGCATCGAGGTATGACAGCATTTAATGTTCATCACGTCAACAAAATTACTGACACAGCATTTTCAGCGGCGATACTGATTACTGGTCAACCGATACATAGCCAACATCTGGAACTGATATAAACCATGAAAATGAAATGACTTCAAAAATAAAATCTTGCCGCCAAAATCTGAGGACAACATAAGACTTTGTTGAATATTTGTGCTGTGCATGTTCATTTAAAATAGAACTTTCCACTGTTTATTTTCCAGTGTTGACAGCAGGTTGTCACTCAAACAGACGGTGAAGGAAAGTGGGGACTACAGATGGATAAATAAATTAAAATTCTATTATTTTATTGGGAATATATCAAAACAAAACAAAACAAAAAGAAGAAAATGAAATTTGGAAAAATGCGGAATATTAAATGCATATATTGGTTGATCTTGAAAAATAAATAAAGACAATTAAAGGTAATTTTCTATTTTCACTGACAACCTGTCCAGAGGATTATTGGATGCAGCACTGTCCAGTAGCGCCACCTGCAGGTATACATGCTCACTTACCCAGTAAAACATGTCAACATCTGTTTCATGGGTTGGTACCAGTATAATAATAATAAATATGTAATAATGTTGTTTCACTGCTCGTTGCATCATTTTACATTTACACCTCAACATCGGGGCTGCAAGGTGGCTCGGTGGTTAGCATTGTTGCCTCGCAGCGAGACGGGCACCGGTTCAGGAGTTTGCATGTTCTCCCCGTGCAGCGTGGGTTCTCTCCGGGTTCTCCAGCTTCCTCCCACACAGTCCAAAAACATGCTGAGGTTAATTGGTGATTCTAAATTGTCCGTAGGTGTGAATGTGAGTGTGCTTGGTTGTCTGTCTCTAAGTGTAGCCCTGTGATAGACTGGTTACCTGTCCAGGTGAACCTGCCTTCACCCTGAGTCAGCTGGGATAGACTCCAGCCCCCCACGACCCTAGTGAGGATTAAGTGGTGTATAGATAATGGATGGATGAACCTCAATATCACCTGCGACACACCGCCGCCAAATTACTACAGATACCTATTTATGTTCTTGTCCGCTATTTCTGTGAACTTTGCCTGGTGAAAAGCTCACACTCATGGCCACTAACACACAATCAATACTCAAGAAAAGTGAGTGTGTAGGAATTTGTTTGTGGCACAAAGATTAAAACACACTTATAATTTATTAGTTTATTTTTTCATCAACATTTAGAATGAACTGACGAGTGTTTTTGAGGCGTCATTTTATATTTCTCATAAGAAAAACAAGTTCTTTGTTATAAATAATAAATAATATATATTGATATTTAAGGTCATTATTTTCAGAAAATGCTGCAAGTGCACAAAAATAGAATAACTGATGTCTTACAGGTTTTAAATAAAACACAAGCTGGAAGTATGTGCGTCCTGCGTAACATGACCAAGAAACAAACTGCAGGACTGGAATGCAGAATAAAGTCAGCTCTCAGTTTATTTGGATTTTTGTGTTAGTTGTTAAAAAAAACTCAGTGTACCTAATAAACTGCTCAGTTATGTACAGACACGAATAAACTGGTTTCAATATGATTCATTGCGATTTCAAACAGTAGTTAATAAAGTCAAGCGGAAAACGTCGGTGTCTAAAGTCTTAAAAAGCTCCTTGAGCGGTGCCACCGTCCGACCGTCTGACCCGGTTTGACGCTGCATCAGCGCACCTGAGGTTCAGTCACACCTGCAGCCCCGAGGAGTCTAATAGCAGATCTGTTGTGTTGTTCTCAGTCTGAAACAAACAGGAGGACACAAGCCGTACATTTTTTAACCTGATCTATAAATTCTCCATCATTTTAAATTTGCTCATTTGAGTCAAAGTATGGCACAGTTCTGCAGGGATGACTGATAAATCCAAAAACCCGTCTAACTCCAGGTTTGAAAGGCGCCAATCGCACCGTTCATCAGATTTTTGACTCTGAACAAAACATTCTGCGAAATTAAATAATTTCCAGAAACCAGATTCTGTATAAAAAAAATTAAAAAAAGTAAAATACAAAAATTCTGCACTTCTCATTGCAACTGTGAAGCCGTTACAGACTCAGCTGTGACCAACAGTCATGTCATAAAAATTTGCGGACTTTTCCGTTGAACTGCAGGCTGTGTTTACACAGAGCAGAGAGGATGCATGTGGAAAGTAATTTTTTTTTAAATGTAAGTAAAATTAACTTTTTTTTTAATTTTTGCAAAATAAAACTTGAATGAAATTCTGTTTTTATGATGACACATCACTTTACACTGATAAAAACACATTCCTGAGTTCTCTCTCCTTCTAGTCGTGGTTGTTCTGTTTCCATCGAGGTGCAGGACTTTATATCGCAGTGAGAAATGAGCAAACAAGGAGTAAAAACGAGACAGGAACAAAAAAAACAACAAGAAACTGCTGTCCTTACAATCAGTGACATAAAACAATAACATACCTTGGGTTTCTTCTTCTTCTTCTTCTTCTTCTGGCTTTACCCCTGTGCTGCTTCTGTCCTTCAGTCCACTTCCTAAAAGGCAAATAAATCAATAACAGATTGTTTAATTTTAAATATTTCATTTTATGTTAACGCTCTGAACTCTTAAACCTGTTAGCAGGTTTGAAAGGCATTTTATGTTTAAAAAAAATAAAAAAAATAAAAGAAATGACACTATTTATCAGAGCCAGAAACTGCAAAAAATATATTTTTTAAAGAATTTTCACAATCACACAATCTAAATTCAACATTGGGATTTCTTAAAAATCTCACATTTCAAAGTTTGCCAATGAGGCAGGTCCTGTAAAAACCACAAAAATTAAAAATAATTTAAGCTTCTCTGCGCAACTAAAAAAAACGTATTTGACTCAGCTGCAACCAACCGTCATGTTACCACAATTCAAGGTATGATATCTTTAATAAAACAATTCTAAAATGCCAAAATTAAACCATTTATCTAAGCTAGAGACCATAAAAGCAGAAAAGTCTTTAAACATTTTTGACGGTCCTTCAGCTGCTCATCGGTGAGTTCTGTCAGGAAACTTAATCAAAACTGAGCTTAACATCAGGATATTTCCTTCATGTTTTATTTATACATCAGGCAATAAGAAACCATTTACAGCGATCAGAATATGTGAAGAACGAAACAAAAAAAAACTCAGCTGAACTGCAGGCTGTGTTTAATCATAATTATAGAAACAAATTAAAAACATAGGTAGAAAAACATTTATAGTCTGTAGAGCCACAGCTTTTTGTGGACACTTTAAAATGTTGTTTTTGTAAAATAAACAACCAAATAAACTCAACTTTTTATATAATTGATGGCATTATAACTGTGTCATACTGTACAAGACACATTTCTGAGTTCTCTCTCCTTCCTCTTGGTTGCTCTGCTTCCATCGAGGTGCAGGAAAATGAAGACAGAAGCAAAATAAAAACAGCCCAGAACCTCCTTGGGGTTCAGATTGTAAATGTAAGTCTGTAGCAGGACTGAATAACCAGCGTACCTGGAGGGACGTTGATCTGATGTCACTGTCTGGCCGCTCTCCGTCCTCTTGATATGGACTCAGACACAGAAAGAGGCTTTTCAGAACTGAACCTGCAGAGTCCACAAAATGGAAAGAAGAAAAAAAAAAAGGCATTAACGACACATTTCTGCAGCACAAACTTCACACTAGTTTCCTTGTCCTCACCTCTGGGCGATGAGACGTCAGGGAGCTGCTGCTGAGCCGACGCTGTGGACGGATTTAGACTTTGAGGAGCTGGACTTGCGGGAATCTCACTGAGAGAAAAAGGATTCGCCGGCTGGTCTACAGGCTCATTGCTCCGGCCGGCAGACGAATTAGGCGACGTTGGCCTGTGAGGAGTTTGTTCGGCATCAGTTCCGGCCTCATGCGGAAGAGCCGGCTCTAAATTTTGAACTCTTGCTTTGGATAAATGAAATGCATCATCATCAGTCCTTAAATGATCAGCTTGAGATTCCAAACGTGGAGATGAAGCAGCTGCGTCACAGAGCGGTGCTGCAAAAAGGCATCGGAAGGACGTGGATGAAGATTCAGTTGCAGTTTTAAGATCTTCACTTGAGAAATCTGCACAGCGTGGAGCCTGAATGGAGCCTGGAGGCTGAGCTGGAGGCTGAGCTGGAGGCTGAGCTGGAGGCTGGGCTGGAGGCTGAGCTGGAGGCTGAGCCGGCATCACGCTGTCGGAGAGGTTTGCGAAAAGGCTCCTAAAAGTTCGTTTCTGATTCTTCTTGCATGCATCGGAAAAATCGCCGCGATCTCTCACTTCGCTGCTGCGCTCTGGGTGGGTTGTAGCAGAATAACGCTGCTGTTGCTGTTTTTTCGCAGCAAAATGACGACTGGGAGAGTCTGAGGTGTCACTTTTCTTATCTGAACAGGAATCAGGTTCACCAGCAGCTCTGTCTTTAAACTCTGACAAACTGACAGAAGGAGAAAAGGGCGTCACTGGAGATTGTGAATCAGACATCAGACCAGAGAGATGTGGCTTCAGCGGTGCAGGACATGTTTGACTTTCGTTCACATCTCCTTTGCTTTTGGAGGACGCACACTTCTTTACTTGTGTGACAGGAGAATGCAACGACTCCAGTTTGACTTCACTAGAAGTTCTCTGAGCAGTTTTTACAGACTCTGGAACATCTCCACATTGATTTTTATGGTCCTCAGAGGTGAGAGAAAGGTCAGGGCAGGTTTTTGAAATCCGGCTGGTGTGCGATTGGAAAGATGGCAGAGTCTTGAACAAGTTTTTCTGGGGTTTGTTCGCTTCATCTCTGGTGTTTAGTGAAATCTTCCCATGCTGTGAGCTCAGCAGAGGTTTAGTGCTTTCTTCACAGGCAGCTTTTGGTGTGTAGGATACCGTTTTTGCAGGCAGAGTGGTAGATCTTTGGCCAAAAGTGGACTTTTCCACTGATTTGAACGACCGGAGGACAGCATCCACAGAGTACGGAGCTTGGCTTTGGTTTGTGGAGCCCAGAGTGGCATCAGAAGTGGTCTGTGCCGCAGGGAGAGACGGAGAACCTTGACTTCCAGGAGCTGTGTAGAAACTGGGGAATGGTCTGGACAGCTGAGCTCCAAGAACAGCTTCCACTGAATAACAAACTGGCTGTGTATGGTCACTGCTGGGAGATGGAGGTGTCTGAGGCTGGGCAGCATCTGATGCATGTGGAGGGGAACCTTCATGTGTGGTAACAGGCTGCTCTTCTGTTGGACACAACAAGGTTTCCTTGGCGGTATCTGTGCTGTTGTAAAAGTTAGGCCTGAGAAATAAAAACATCAGGTAAAGGTTAATCCCAAACGCCTTCATTAACTAATAGCTGAATATAATGTGATTAAAAACGTTCTCGGATTGTTGGTGGTGGGCGTCACAGTCATGCATTTTTGTAAACACCGGTACCTTTGATCACACCGTGTATGCAAGGACAACAGAAAAAGAGTGAAAACACAGTGTGAACGCTTTAAGTTTCTACCTGAGTGGCTGCGTTAGCACATCAGGGGTTTCATTTGCTTCAATAATTTCCGTCTCGGCTGTGTTGGCCAGCTGTCCTGACGACTCCTGTTCAGCTTTCTTTGCAAGTTGATGAAGGTCATTGTCTCGTTGTAATGCCTACAGTGAGAAGACAGAACCCACATCTACGTCAGTACGCAGCAATGCACGGATAACATTTTTTAGAACATTTGCACGGCTGCGTACGCACCTCATCCAACAGTCGGTTAGTGACGTCATTTAGTGGTTCGTGGGAAAACCTGCAATCTGCTCCTTGGGAACACTTTCCGTTTTTGTGGAAAAACTTGCAAGGGAAGGACTGTGCAGCTCAGTGAAGGAAATATTAGATATTCATCAGCCTCCAGTTTCTAAAAAGTAACAGTAAAATGAGCTTAAGACAGGAAAACAGACAGATTACTGTTAGACCAAAGGATATTGTGCATGTAAGGGCAGCTCTCCCCCTTCATGCAGAATCCCTGGACGTAGAACTTGCAGACGACTTGGAGGAGACCGTTGTAACCCTGAACGTGCTCCAGCTGGCAGCTTTCAGCCTGTGAAGAAACCAACGTTAGGACGCTGCAGTCTAACAATCCTGCAAGAAAAGTCAATCTGTGGTGTAACCCGCCTTGATGCAGCATCCCCGAAGGAAATGACGACAAAGCAAGCGTCCGTCCAGCTCCAACACATTCTTGTCCTTGAACTCTTGTGTCATGAACCTCGGCGGCTTCGGCCTAGCATCCTAAGAGGATACATAAACACAACAATTAGATTCAAGGTGGCACACTTTGCCTCTTTGACCTCATTTTGTTAGAAACACCGACTGAATAACTACAAACTCTGCAAATTTCACGCTACTTTGCTACTCTAGAAAGATGCTTGACCATGCTGAATGTATCTACCAACAACGTGCTCCTCTGCATACTGTTTCTGAGCCGTGCCACATTTATTTTCCTGCACCAGCATGTTGTTTTATTTTGGCTGCCATCTCTCTGATTTGTTTCAGCGCTCGTCTCCTCTGCAGTTCAGACAAAAAGTGTCGGTGGCTGCTGAGTGAATCATGTCTTCTCTGGCGCATCGAGGAGCGCAGAAATGTTTGCTTTTAATGAAATCTGGCGTAAATGGCTCGTGTTTTAGCAAATGAGACATGTAAAGTGGTTTTAATGAAACAATCTTAAGCTTAGATTTGGTTGATTTTTCTGATGGAACCACAGCATCAGTTCTGACTCGGGCTGTCGAAACGTTGACAATGAGGCGATTCTTCTGGTTTCCACAGTGTGTTGCTCTGATAAGTCTGGATACTTTTTAAGGATAACATGGCTTTCAAACCTGTAACTGATGCGAACGATGGTGGATGATCTATTCTGACAGGCACAGTGAATTCTTTCTCACCTGTTTGGCATGTTGATCGCCTCTTCCACCTTTTCTCAGCATCCCTCTTCCCCCTCCATAGGTCTGTCTCCCTTTATCCATGAATTTATGCTTATTTTGAAACTTCATCTTCTTTTCCTGATGTTGTTGCTTGTTCACTCCACAGCTGCTTTTCGTTTTGTAGTTCTGACCTATGTGGTTCCTGATATTGTGCGCAGCTTTGTCACTGTAGTTATTTATTTCTTCCTCAGTGCAGCCTCCCAGTGCACCATCAGTGCTCGGTACATGATAGTCTTTGGCCTTGATGTTATCATCTTTGAAGCTGTAAGTTGGGTTTTTCTGGACTTGACAACGTTGCTTCTGTTGGAAACAAAAATTTTATAGAGATGAGACATCATCTTGGGCAGACAAACCATATAAAATATATGTTTTTAATATATGCTCAGCTGTAGGTATACCTGGCTGAAACTAATGCAGTGCAACTGAACACATGTGGGTGACACATTAAAGCAAAGTGTCTCAGTAAGTTGGTGGGTCACCACATGCTGCAGCTTTTATTCTTTAGGTTTCTGGAACTCTACTGGACTTCCATTCTCAATCACCAGAGGAAGAACTGCTTTTCTACTTTTCTCTATCGCATTAATGCACAAACATCACAGTCATCCCTCTTTACTGATGTACCTCCTTTAGATCTAAACGCAGGTGGCGCTTTAGTCACAGTTCTTGACTGAAGCTCCTGCCATCTGCGCCCCAACACTGAACTCTTTTACAAAGTCACTCAGAGCTTTTTCTGCTTAGTCTCGTTGTATCTCTATAGTCTATAGTCTATAGTCTATCTCTATAGTGTGTAATTGTACCATGCTCTGCACCTTATTCATGGTTTCCTTTGATTTGTCACCCCTTTGTAAATGCAATAAGGTACCAATTCCACAGTATTTTTTATGCTGCAGTTTGTGGTTATACTAAAAAGGTGTTTGTAATTATATAAATATTAGTAATAATATCAGTAGTAGTGCACTGTCTTCAACAGTAGACTTCTGAAACATTAATGCCAAGATTAATTGTTTTTTTTCTCCAAGATTTTGAAGGTAGGAAGTCGACTGATTATTTGTCTGGTTTTGGGATCCAACATTTTTCAGATTATCGGTATTGTTGCTGTTTTAACCACTTTCGGGTAAAATAAATGAACTAAAAAACGCCCTATTGTACTCTGATGCAGCCGCCTCTCTCCATCTACAGTCATTTCTCTTGAGCAGTGTACCGTCTACAGCACTGTGTGATAAGTGACACGTCAACAGTAAAGCCTTATCAATGCTGAACAATGAATCTTTGTAGGTGAACATGCGAAATGTAAATAAATAAAGGCAGTTCAATCATGACACTTTGTGTATGTGTTATTCTAAATTCTGACCAGATTTTCATTTGTACATCAAATCTTTATTGGTTCCAAATACCTGTTAACAGTCTAATTGATTACTAACATTTGGTATCGATATCAGCCCTGTGAAAACATATAAGAGACCAAAAAACAAACTCAAACCAGCAGTTCTGTGACTGTTTCTACTAAAACTGAAGTATCCAGGTCTACTTCTACCACTGTATGTAAAACAAAGTACCTACACAAGGTCTCACACATGTTAAATAAGTGCTTTACAAGCTGAACTCACCTTGTTGTGGGATCCAGGCTGCTCTTCTTCTGCTTTCCTCTTCCTGCCTTTGCCTCTGGTTCTTTTCTCAGACTCCTTCCTATTAAACACAGTGAGGATTTTTAACAGGACATCAGGGCAGAACTTCAGCTGTTTGGTTCTGACTGTTTCTGGCTCCCTACCGGCATGTGAAGGCTGGTCCTCCAGGACTTTTCACGTCGTCGTGGAGGGCAGACAGACTCGCGAACAGGTTTGCAAAAGCCATTTTATTTTTTTCATTAGATTCTGAAACAAAACCAACTCTGGAACAACCACCTGCACGAGGGATGCTAACGGTACAGCTATGCTAACAAACGCCTCCTCCCGCAGATACAACTTACATTAAAAGAAGTTTGGGATTAATTGTTATCTATTCCAACCCACTTTTCCACTACGATGTAAAATAAAACAACTTCAGTGCAGTGAACTGTCTCGCACGCATGTTCATTTGGCAGCTGCGTTACTTTGTCGCTTACTTCCGTGTTTGGGTCATACGTCACCGTGGACCGTACCACAGAAAGAGAGAGAGGGGGGGGCCCGACCACTGAGTTGTTCTACATTTCAGTACCGCTCATGTTACTCGCTGTTACAGTATGAAATATGAGCAACACTTTAAGCTGTTTTCAATTTCAATTACTTTATTACTTACTAGGAAATTTGAGACTCAAATACTTTACTTGTTGCATTCTTGAGAATTATTTATGCACCACTTTTGGATTTTTTTTTGCACATTTAGGGTCAAAAAGTCTTTATTTATGTGAAGATAAGCACCAAGTTAACTTACAAAGCAGCAATTTAAAATATAACAGAATATATATGGATCTAATTTAGTTTTACACAAAAGATTCAGCTGGTGTTTGAGCTCAAAAGTTATATTTTGTGAGTTAAAAAAAGAAAAAGATCCAGCACTGAAGAAAAAAGACCTTCTCCTTTCTGAGGCACTGTGGCGTCTTTCAGTAACAGTACAGCTGTTACTCAAATGAAAGTCTTCAGTGTCTTTCATGTTTTATTAGAGATGACAAGTGAAACAATATAAATGGTACGCAGCCTGGTCGGCCTGCTGGCGACAGTGAGGGATAAAAAGTTCCTGAGAGTCCAGACACAGACTCAACTCCCTCTTTGGCCTGAATAAACCTGCACGATCAAAACCAATCAATCAATCAATCAATCAATCAGTCAATCAACTCACATTGACATGAGCAGCGTCAATGAGTCATGTTTTATGGTCTCAGTGTGATGATTCACTCTCACTCATTAGATTAATAAATATTATGGGTTTATGCTCCTTTGTAGGCTTCATTTTCAGATACCAGATTATTTTTAGTGACTAACAGTCATTTGCTGACTTAAGCATCCATACATCAGCAGAACAAGCCACAAATGTCATATATCATAAGAGAAAAAGAAAAAAAAAGTGGAATTTCTTTAATTATTTACTTAAAAGAAAAAAAAAAAAGTGGAATCAACATGTACAACGTTTTTCCACGTGCCCACAGCTGCTCCTGATACTGGGAAAAATGAACAGTGACTCTGTGTACTATAGATTTCTCCCTACTTGGATTTTTAATCTGTTTCTCTACCTGTCTCCTGTGTGTTCTGTGTCAACACCGCCTGCAGTTCAGTTGAAAAGCTTCTGAATGTTTGTTACTTGACTGTTGGTCACAGCTCAGGCTTCACGGTGGCACTGAGGAGCACAAAAGTTGTTGTTTTTCACGGACTCTGGTTGGAGCAAATTGTTTACTATAAACCGAAAATTGGTTAATTTTCCCAAAAGAGCAGCAAGTCACACATGATTAGCTCAAGAATTGTTGGAAAGCAGAAAATCCAGTGAATTTCTCTGTTTTTACAGCTTCTAGTTCTGATGAATGATGTAATTTTGGCAAATTTTTAAACGATGACATGCCTTTAAAACCTGCTGGCTGGTTTGGGGGCTCAGAGGGGTTGAGTGTGAATTAATGGGATTAAAATGTAATGGAATCACCTCCTCTGACCGCTGAGCACTCTGCTCCACATCACTCAGCAGGAATGATAAACGCTCAGACATGTTCAAAAGATGAGATAGAAGCCGGACTTTGTTCCTCCACATGCGAGGCCGTCCCTGAGTCTGGCTCAAAGTTCAGGTCACGCAGACGCTTTCAGTATCTCCTCTGTGAGTATGATTATTTCAGCCGTGTTCACTCTGAGCTGCAGGATGACCCGCGTCGCTGCCCTGCTGCTCCTGCTGGGCCTGTTCGTCCACGGTTCTGTCGGCCAGGAGGCCGCAGACCCGGCAGCACCGCCACCAGGCCAAGGCTCTGAGGGCGGGCAGGCCGAGGGAGAGGACGGGGAATGGGGCATGGACTCGCTCAGAGGCAGCTTTGAGGCTGTCAGCGGCTACTTCGACTCCATGCTGGAGTTCATGGGCGGACGGGATGGAGTTTGTCAGTACCGCTGTAGATACGGTGAGTTCAGGCTCAAACTGATACTTGTATTAATCTGTATCAGACATCCATCTGTTATCTGTGTGGATTTGTGGAATTAAGTGAAATACAAAAGTTTGACTCTGAACCACAAAACCCAGAGGTGGGTCCGTCTCATAAATGACCAAAATAACTGTATGTATCAGCCAGAAACTGTCAAAACAGAAAGAATTGTTCAATTTTCAACTCTATGACAGACCTCAAACTAACTATCTGTGATGTGCCTTAAGCCTGAAATCCTGATATTTAATCATAAACGTTTATCCTTCATGTGTCATTTGAAAATTTGCCAAAAACACATCATTTGCTCGAAACAAAAAAGTCTGCAATCCTTGTTGCAACTGGGAAATTACTAGTGACTCAGCTGTGGAAAAAAACAGTCACATAATAAAAAATCAGGGACATGTTGATTCCAGGTTTAATCCCTTTTTCGTAAAACAAATAATCACTGAAATTCAACTTTAGTTTTTTTCCCTTTTTTATGATTTTTGGCATAATGTTCTTTCAAAGTTCTTTCTCCTTTTAGTTACGGTTGTTCTGTTTCCATAAAGGTGTAGGGCTTTAAAAAAAAAAAAAAAAAAGAGGTGCAGTAAGAGAGAGAAAAAAAAAGAAAGAAATGCCCAGAATCTACTTCAGGGTTCATATTGATTACAGCAGCGAAAAAAATCTGCTTCATATAACAACATGTGCATGTTTTGGAGCCTTCAGAACATAATTAGGAAAACAGTTCTGCAAATACATTCTCTGCTTTCTAGAATATCAGCAGAATTGAATCGTACATTAACTGTTTTCTCCCTGTTCTGCCTCACAAACGTTCAAACGAGACGACAAAGCTTTTCAACAGGATGCTGACGCTGCATCCTCACACAGTTCACACACACAACATGTCTCATTAATCACGTAGCTTCTTTTACGTCCTATTTTTTTTCCACATACACAGTCTTATGCTGCATGTTGGAGCTGCTGTACATCCAGAATTCAGCCTCCAATAACTAGGAAACAGCTGAAGATGAACAACCGCCTCCGTCATTAATGTTCAAGACGGAGAAATTTAGATAAAAATCTCACTTAATCTTCCATTATTTCTATTAAGATACAAGTCAAATACCGGTTGCTCTCCAGTCAATAAATCTTTGCACAGATGCTCCCGTGTTGCTCTTCAATAAACCATCCTGTGAGATAAGCCACAGCAAACCTCTCCTCTAATCGGATGTGCTCGGGCTAATATTGTAAACTCTTAACTTATCGTCTTTGTTATCGTGTGGGCGCAGGCCTGGAGGCGGACTGTGACCCTCTGGATGAACGTGTCAGATATCAGCACGAACCAAATAACAAAATGTGCAAACATGGATCTGATTCAAACCCACGAGGTTATCACAGCGTCGCTCCCTCAGTTGTGAAACATGACCTACATTTAATAGTTTTTCTTTTTTAAATTGTTTCTCCACCAGGTAAAGCTCCTCTTCCTCGAACCGGATACCAGATGCCTGAACCCAACGGATGCACCTCCTACTTCTTTGGCCTCCCTGTTCCAGAAGGGGTGGGTTTAGTCCGTCTATAAATACATTACAGCCAAAACACCTCGAGCCACTGAGCCTCCATTAACAAGCTATTTAGCTATTTACTTTCATCTTATATTACTGGTTCTTGGAATAAACTGATTGTAACTGAGCTCTTCCACAAATTACAACAAAAATCTGACAAGAAGTGGCAACAAAACAGCTTTAAAAACTCCAAACATATTAGATATCTTTCATGACCATCAAATTCGTCCTCTAGAATTATAATGGTCTCTCATAGCCAGAAACATCATTGTAATTGTAATTCTGCTATTAAAACAGTCTGGTTTGTTAGCATTCGTTGAATACAATTGCAGCCTTTTTCAGCAGAGCTCAGCCCAGGATGCAGCAAAGGTGTCCCAACATAGCGACGGGGGAATGTTTGCATTCAGGAAGGCGAGAACTGTCATTAAAATTGATGATTTGCTTAAAAAGCCAAACCGGGCTTCCTTGATGCACGATTCAGATAAAACCTGGCCTTGCTCAGAGGTTGTTGTTGTTGTTTCCGGTAGCAAAAGGGATTTTGAAACGTAACAGATAGTGGAAAAAGAGAAGAAAAACTACGAAGAATTATACCCGAAGTCTACATCTGGTGAGTTAGGCTAGCGCATTAATTTCACCTGACAATTTAGATTTTCCTTTCAGGCTGAACATATTTTCGTGAAGCCATCTCGATGATGACGGTGACCGCTGCAGATTGAAAATGCTCAGAAGAAAGAAAAATCAAAAACTCGACGAAACTTGATAAAAACAAAACGACTGAAATGGGACTAAAAATAAAACCCATCAGGAACGAGAGCCAGGTGTTAGCATCAACAGGAACCGCCTCCTAACGGGTTCTTTCAGCTTTTCTGTCGCACCAAAACAACGACAAACAGCAGCGACTGGATGTAATGTAGGAAAAAGAACAACAGAGGTTTGTTATGTTAGTTTATGTGGTGGATTGTATGCTGGCGAGAGGAGGACATCGAGAGGGCGGTAAAATGGCGCTTGCTGTCCTCTGCAGGTGTAACCAATCAGCATTTGTCTTCTACCAGTTTAACCAATCAGTGTCGAACTTTCTTGCAGTCGGAAAACGCTCAAATTTTTGGTTTAAATTCAGCCATTACAGGTTTGATGTTTAGCATTTTAGCATGCTAATGTTAGCACTGCATCTCAAACGTTACAGTACAGATGAAGTTGACACCTGGAAGCTGTGACGCTGTTTGAAATAAAACATCAGGGGATGGATGAAAGCCATTCATCCTCTGACTGGATGATGATTATAAATGTCAAGTGAACAACGACAAGCTGAGCTAGCGCTGAAAAATGTGCACTGAAACACTGTCAAATCCTCGTGAAAATTAAAATGCATGTTACGTTAACAAGCAGGTTCTGGTCGCCCTAAAACAGCCTGCAAGTTCCTGCAGACCAAAATAAAATAAAAATGTAATTAAAAAACTGAATCAACAATGGCGGCTTGTAGCAAAAACAAAAAAATGAATAATCCACATCTGATCCTGTGGCCCTGAAACACCCAGAGCTCTCTGTGTTCAGTGTGAGGACTGCACCTGCACACATGAATCAACACACTAATCCGTGCTCTTCCCCGTCAGATGGACATGGGCATCCCCGCCATGACCAAGTGCTGCAACCAGCTGGACATGTGTTACGACACCTGCGGCTCCAACAAATATCGCTGCGACTCCAAGTTCCGCTGGTGCCTCCACAGTATCTGCTCGGACCTCAAGAAGAGCCTCGGCTTCGTGTCCAAAGTAGAAGGTGGGCGAAGCCTTTTATTAACCTTTACTGGAGCGCTTTTACTGCATCGCTGTTCAACTTCACCTTTAACCTTACATTTCCTCTGAGGAGAGCTCCGACCGGAAATGTCAGGCATCTTTTTTTTAATACCTTTTTAAACTCACTTTTTCAAAAAGTGCTAAAATTACACCACTTGTCAGATCCAGAAACTGTAAAAAAAATTGTCGGAGTTTCAACTTTCCTACAGTCCTTGAACTAATCCTGTGTGACATGCTGTTCTATCAGGAAAACCGACCAAATTTAAGCCTAAAATTGTGATAGTTCATTCAAATCTTTTTATTCTACTCTACTGTTTATTCTATTAATTTAAAAATTTGCCCTCAAAAAAGCATTTGCTCGAACCAGATTCTTTTAAAACATAAATAAATAAATAAAAATCTGTCGTCTCTTGACACGAATGTGAAGCCATGAACGACTCAGCCGGACTTTTCGGCTGAACTGCAGGCTGTTTACACAAAGCAGATAGGAAACATGCACGCAAACAAATTGCAAGACATTTTTCTCTACATTTATTCGTGGTTGTTCTGTTTCCCTAGAGGTGCAGAACTTTGTATTTGAGTCAAAAACGAGCCCACAGTGAGAAATAAATCTGCCAGAATTCAGAGGGTTAGAAAACGACTGAAAACATTAGTTTATTCAGGAAGCCTTCTCTTAATTGTGGTTGTTTTATTTGATTCTTATATATGTCAGTAAGTCGACCTGCTCTGTCTGTTATCCTTTGGTTGTTTTGGTCTTTTATATATTTGGTTGGTGTATTGTAATATCTGCTTTGTGTAAAGTTGATTTCAGAAAAGCAGCATATAAATAAAGCTAATTAACCCGCTAAGATCAAATTAAAACTTCTTGTATTACTACAGGACACGTGTCTATCTCGATGCATATGATTGTAATCTGTGAACCTTCCTGTGCACATCCTGCTCTGGCCTGACCGTCTCTTATGTCTCCTCAGCTTGTGAAACTGTGGCCGACACCCTGTTCAACACGGTGTGGACTCTGGGCTGCAGACCCTACATGAACAGCCAGAGGGCGGCCTGCTACTGTCAAGGAGAGGAGAAAGACGAACTCTAGAGCCACAGCAGGAACCACTCTCATATTTATATAAAACTGTGTCTGCTCGGAGCTGTAGTGCTGCAGCGGCAGTTTAATTTATTTGGAAGTTGTTGCTTTTGGTCTTGCCGAAAATCATGCTTCCCGACTCCTCCGCTTTGTGCTGCGAGTGAAAACTGTTTGTCCGTCGTGTTGGCGTTTGCAGAAGCGCAGGCGGCGGCGACGGCGCGTGACGTGTTTCTTCCACTGTGTCTGTGTAAAGTGTGAATAAATATATTAAAATACAAAGAATTGTCTAATTTCACGACCTTCACTCCTTCAAGCCTCATCAGTCGAGTCATTCCACATACATACTGTATGAAAAGACACATAACAGTTTTTTCTCACTATCTGACATTAAATCAGAATAAACTTTTCCTGTTTTAGGTCAGTTAGGATTACCAAAATTATTTCTATTTGCTAAATGCCAGAATAATGAGAGAGCATTTGATGTCTTTTTATATCATGTATGTAAACCTCTGGTACATATTTCAGGACACTTCTTCAGTGTTTCTGGGATTCTTACATTTGACAGTTGTGCCGTATTTTTATCTACAAAAAAAAAAAGTAATTCTTCATTTTTGGGTTAATAACTTCAACAATAAATTAAGTGTTCATCTTGAGCCAAACTTCTAAGACAACTATTTTAGTGTGAGTTCAGGTTGTTGAGCGACATTATAAAAGAAAAAGGCCTCGAACTAGAACCATAAATGATCCTGCTGTCATCATGTTGTCTGACGCAACAGAAAAAAAACCTCTAAAAAGTCACCGAGCTCAGATGAGACGAGTGAAGGCAAACAGTGGAGACGTTCAAGAGATTAAAGCGCCACATAAAACGGATTCATGTGCTAAGAGGTACACTGTGCTTTCATAACTGTAACGTGTCCGCCAGTTATTTTATCTTAGTTTCTTGGAAGAAAAACGGATTTTTGATTGAGCTCAATCACAAAGTACGACAAGAATTTGACAAAAAGTGTAAACAGAGCTGCTGGCAGACTACAAAAACATTACGTTCAATCGGAATTAATGACTGACTGCACCTCAGCATCGTTCTGTTGTAGGAGGAAAAACTTTAAAGCACCAGATACAGAGCTGGTGGAGACCAAAACAAAGTTAAAAAGAGCAAATATCGGGTTGAGATTCAGTCATTACAGGTTCGGTGTTTAGCATTTTAGCATGCTAATTTTAGCACTGTGTTTAACCTGTTGTGTATAAATATATTATATCATGTGTGAAGTATAGTCCTTAAGGTTTAAAATATAAAAGAAGTTACATATATGCATGTAGTCATGAAATGTCTTCTTTTGAAGAAGTTGCTTCTTTTATGGTTTCACAGGACAAGCAACAGACGGAGGAAAAGAAGTCCATATAAGGATGCAACCATTCAGTGTGATGAAGATGGGCCCCAATCAGTTGTTTTACGATCTGAACAGGCATCACGTGACTGAGTAGTAAAAAAAGAAGGGTCAGAGGCAACAGGAGTAGTCTTGCTTTGTCTGATGTCAGGGAGAGTTTGACCCAGAGCTCTGTAATGCAATATTCAATGTGTAATTAAATTGAATCCGATCTCATCTTTAGAAACGAACATGCGGAGAAGACAGTGATTCTCCAATAAACCTCATAGTACGGATAAAGTTGATACCAGGAAACTGTGTGGTGACGCTAAATTAAACTTCAGGGGATCAGTGAAGGTCGTCAGGATTCATCCTCTGACTGGACAGTTGTTAAAAATGTAGAGTGAACAACGACGGACTAAGCTAGCATCTGCCTCTGTGTCAACCAGATACACTTTTAACGACCATTTTTATAGCCTCAAACTCTTACGAAACCAAAAATATACATTTCAATAAAAACTGCACCAGAGCCTCCACGACGTATTTTGCGTAAACAAATTTATACAACAGAAAAAAAAAAAAAAAAACGTCCAGAGTTACAAAGTAGTGACATTCATAGAAATGTAGACCTGCAAACTGGTAATTAATCGCACAAAAATATTCTTTTGAAGAAGATGTAATTACATTTCTATGAGTTGAGAACGACTCAATACAAATGCAGGGATGGAACTAAAACTGACGCTGATCCCGCAGCACTGAACTGCTGCTTTTAAATACCCAAACATGGAGGTCCAGCTTCTGTCAGGGCTCACCACAGGTTCAAATCAAAGAAGCTCTTCACAGACGTCTGGAAAGAGGAGACATCATCGTAAATACACAACAGTTATGTAGTGCTAGGTATGAACTTAAATCAACAATAATTCTTGCTTTGGTTTGTTACATAATACACAGAAACGTGATTAATATAAGTTGAGGAAGGAAGAGAAACGTATTCTGTAAAGTAGTGCAAAAATAAAAGTATAACTGACTGTTAAATAGATGTTATTAAATACAGGTAAGTTATACTAAAGATGAACTGAAAACGTTTTATTTGATTCCAACACAGAAACAGTCTCAAACATGAACACCTGTCAAGTTTATCAAGAGCACAAGGTGTGATAGAAAAGTCTGAGCCTCTGCCTACAAAAAGCAAACACTGGTTTTAATTTCCCTCCTTGTGCAGCGACACACTGCTCCCAGTGCTCCCACTCTGCTCCCAGTGCTCCCACTCTGCAGCCGCGTTGGCCTGAATGGTTTGCAATTTCTTCGACAGATTTTGCTCCGTATAACTTTTTCCAGTCAAACTTCAGTTCAATATTCACTGTTAAACAGAATTAAAACAAAGGTGTGACACAGGAAGACGTTTTTCATGAATTTGGGTCAAACACACTGTAAAATGTACGAGATCTGGGTGTTATATAATGAGGCTGAGCAGTCAAACCACAGCATATGTGATTACAGATGTCTTTTTTAGTGACATATTAACACATTCATGGCTGTGATTCATGAATGCTTTGTACGTTTAAAAACTCTTCTACATATGTAAGGACCTGAGCAACATCAGTACTTTTCTAATTATGGACAAATCCCCCAAAAAACTCGTGAAACAATCTGATATGTACCATATTGCTGTTTCCACATCCAGTTTTAACTCGTACATGTGCACATATTGATGTTTCTACTGATATTTCTTAATTGTTTGCCTTCGCTGCTGTAGCAATGCATTGTTTAGGATTAATAAAGGCTCGTCGTATCGTATCATGTGGTATACTCTGATCAACAGGCCTCTATCTGCTCGAGCATCAGTTTCTCTATTTAACAGCCACACCATGAACATCCTAAACTGCAGTCTTTGCGAGTTGCTAATTTCGTTTTTCAAAATGTCGCCTCAGCTTTAGTTGCAGGTTGCAAAAGAGAAAGAAATCTCATGGGGCCAAATGTGGCGAGCAGGAGGGACGAAGGTGTCGGTTGATGCCGTGAGGAGGTTCGTGTTCACACAATAAAACATCTCAGATGTTCTTTATCAGACCCCTCAAGAGGTTACAGCAGTCTGACAGATGAATTCACGGCACAAAACCAGGTGGACGTTCAGGAAAACGACAAGCATGCGCCTCATTCAGCCTCAGAGGGCAGACAGAGGAAAGCAGCAGAACCCCAAAACATGTCGTTCTTGGATTGACCTCTCGCTCTCAGCTACAACTTCCGTCCTGTCGAGCCTCAGAATCAAGGAATCTGTGGTGAAATCGCAAATGTGCACGTCCAAGTAGTGAGAGGGGGAGTTCCAGGGAGTGTTGCAGGAGCACTGGGAGCTGTGCAACGCTGCACAAGTCCACCGCTTTCAGCTCTTTTAAGGCACACTTTGCACTTTTTGATCGCACTTGAACTTGCCGTATTTCCCCTTCATGTGTCTATCGGGTCTCTGGGTCATGCTCACTTTACACTTTCTAAATCTGTTTTAGAGCTTCGGGGGGAAACAAGACTTCACACACAAAAAAAAAACAAAACAAGAAGAATTATTTTCACATGAATTAATTCAAATTTTTTATGTGTGGATCTTCTTCCAGCTCACCTTCCTCCCCTACATACCTATCAGTGCAGGTTTATTCATACTGCATGACCCAAAGAGACAACAGAAAAAAACACCAGGATGCAACGGTTGGAAAGGCTGGAAAACATCCGTTAAGACGACTTACTTCAACCGTTCTCAGAGGTCAGGGAGTTAGCTGGCTGCATGAGTGTGGGCTGAGGGAGCTGGCTGGTGTGTTTCGCCTTCTGGTTGAAAGCTTCAAGCTGAGGGGGGAAAAAAAAAAAGACAATAAAAGTGGTTTAACAAAACAGAGAACATGTCGGAATGGAGCGATCATAAAACGAGTCTGTCTGGAGATTTCTTCCTCCATCCGTCTCTCGGCTGTTTCTCTGCGACGACGGCAAAAGGTGCGAACAGATTTAAATCCTCCGTAACATGTTGAATACGCAGCAAACACACCTGGCATACTCCAGCAGGCGTGTGGAGGAGGGTTTGGTCACACTGCACAGAACACCTGATACGAGGAGGCAGCTTCAAACAAACCCTCTGAACTCCAACCGCTTTTTTTTTTACTCACTGTAGACTCATTTTTCTTTGCAACATAAAGTCCTGAACCTCTATGAAGCCCACACCACCATAAAGGAGGAGAGAGGACTCTAAAACGTGTTTTGTGCAGGTACAGCAGAGAATTTTTTAGAATGTTTGTTTTAGGAAAATTCATAAAACTGAAATCAACACGTAAAACGTTTCTCCAGCTGTTGTCAAACACGGTGGCTCCACATACTGTAGATGTTTAACTATTTACATGTTTACAATCTCTATAATCAGCATTTTTCACTCTACCCTGCTAACTGAAAGATGTTTCACCGTGCTAAATGTATCTTCAACAACGTGCTCCTCTGTTCACTGTTTCTGAGTCGTGCTGCATTTATTTTAGAGGTCCAGTAGGTTTTATTTTCCTCTCTCTCGTCATCTCCTCTCTGCTCCACGTAAACAGCCGACAAATCTGTGAACTTCTGTCATTTTAGTGTCTTCTCAGTAGCACAAAGGGGTACAACTATGGTTATTATTATTACTTTTTTTTTGCAGAATCTGGTACAATTTGAAACTTTTGGTTAATTTTCCTGCTGCGCATCACGCCTGATATGTTTGAGGACCGTTGGAAAGCAGAAAATCCACCAATTCTTTCTGTTTTTTCCAGTCACTGGCTCTAAAACATAATTTCAGCAAGATACCATGCCTTTCAAACCTCCAGGCAGCTTTTAGGGTTCTCTGGATAAGTCTTGCTAACAAATGAGCAGATAAATGGGACACACTCTCCTCAACACGGATCAGGGAGCTGACGAACCGTTTTCCTCAGCTTGGCCTTTATCTCCTGCTCCGTCAGCTCCGGTTTCTCCTCGTCCGACTGGCTAATGTTGGAGTCGTCCCCGTCGCTTTCGCCGTCCTGCAAATCCTTCGCCTTGTCTGCTTCCTTTTGCTGCGCCATTTTTTGTCGTTGTTTCTTCCGCTTGATTCTTGCCCTTTTGCTCGGAGGATTCTTTTTCTTCCTTTTCTTCCTGGGGCCTGCGACGAGTTGCTTCAGACAAGGTTCTCTCTTCAGCTGCACCTCCTTCAGCTTCACGGCCTTCAGGCAGCGAGGACGAGAAGCCGTCGCCTCCTGACCTTCGATCGTGGCCAGTTCATTCTCGTATGGGATGAAATTTTCAAGGCTACGGTGGTGATAGGAGGTGGCGTCCTGCACGGGGACTACAGGGTAGGAATAGTTTGGATAATGAAAGGCCATCTGCGGCCAGAGAGAATGTGTTGCAGCGCTGTAGGTGACGCTGTGGTTGTTGGTGTAATGGTAATACTGCGACTGATTGTAACCTGGATATGCAGAGGCAGCGGGGTGGGGGAGGGGGAAGGTCTGGTTTAGTGGGTGCTGATAAGTGTAAATCTGCTGGGAGTTCATTCCAAATCTATTCGGATCCTCCTGTGCTTCTTCGCTGCCATGGCCGCCGTCTTGTCGCTGACGGGGCGACGGGCTCCGACTGAAGCTCCGAGAGGACGATCTGGAAGAGGAGGAGGAAGACAAAGACGAAGAGGAGGAAGAGGAGGAGGAGGATGTGGAGGAATCTCTGTTGGAGCCTCTCTGCCGACTCTCCTCCTCCCCCGTCCTCCACCTGCCTTCAGCCTTCTTCCCATACAGCCTCTCCTGAGTACGATCCGTTAGTTTGTTCATCTCGTCCGCATCCAGGTTCAAACCCAAAGTTCTGAGAATGTTCTGCAGCTGTTCCTGCTTCTCATCCACCTTCGGCTTTGCTTCTTCCTCCTCCTTCTTCTTCTTCTTCATCTTCTTTTTCGCCACCGGTGGAGACTTAGATCGACTGTTATGTCCTCGGGCGTTCTTCTTCTCCTCTACATCAGGTAAAGAGAGTCTCTCGGCGAGCGGCTCGGTTTTCGCCTCTGAACTGTTGGTCCGACTGTCCGACCGCCGGCTCTCGCTACTGAAGACCGAATCGGACTTTTTGTCCACGTCTGAGGACTGAACATTCAGGCGTTCCCTCCTCAAAGGGAGGTCCTCCCTGTCAGCGGTAACGATCCTGCTGAGCATGTCCATGTCCACTCCTTTGTTCAGGATGCTGAGGAAGCGCTCGAAACCCTTGTTGACGCTGTTGTCCTCCTCCGCTGGTGATGCGAGGCTTCGGCTGGGAGGAGGCAGAGTGGCTTCAGGAGTCTACGAAAGATCAGACGTACAGAGACATCACTGACTATGAAACCATTAAAAAGTTGTTTTGATTATTCTAGAGGATGAGAAAACAGTAATAGGCATGTCTAATCCCTCTGCTTGTAGCACCACAGTGTTTAGAGAACACCATGCTACATGTCATCTGCTGTTTTTCTTTACACATCTCACAATGCTCTGTTCTTGATATTAGACAAATACTGCACTTCTGGGGTTGACAGATGCTAAACTTCAATAACAATGACAACAAAGATCTATTCTACACTCGAAACCAAAATCCAAATGTGTATAAAGACAAATTC